CAGCACGTTTTCCGGCGCATCCCATGACCGTGAAGAACTTGTCTCCGGTGACATATCCACCGAGCAGGCCGCTCCTGAATCGAAGATGGACTCGAAGGCGCCAGGCACTTCGTCCGCTGAGGCACAGGTCAGGTCTCGCAAGAAGCTTACCAAATCTCGAAAACAATCTATTCAGGTACCACAAGCACAATTAGCTACCCCTTCATTACCCTGGATACCTCGCCCTTCTTCACCGTTCTTCAGGGGTAGTGCAAAACAGAACACTCCGAATGTTCCCACACCGGACGCGACCCTCCAGGAAAATGTTCCGCTGACTGAAGAAATAGGAGATAACGGAAAGGAGAACAAACGTCTGAGTCGTCGATTGACATTCCAGTTTATTCCATCCCCCTCCTTTTACAGGCGACCCAAGTCGGCTTCAGGCAGTGCTCCAAGCCTTGACTTGAGGTCTCCGATGAGGAATGACGCACGGCAAAGAACGCCTGAACCTGATTCCCGGTACGGAACGGACAACAGCCTGACAGGTAGCGCAACTACTATCACCTTGTTGCCTCCTCCGCCTATCACGTCTTCTTCCAGTGTATCCTCAAGTGCGGGAAATTCTACTTCAAGCTTGACTGATGGCAGTAGCACAATGGGGTCACGGGATACTGGCGCTACTTCTATCAATGCTCCGAACCTCCAAACCGCTTCTCGTGGCGCAGAATATTCTCACCCCAAAATCCCGTCGAACCTGAAGCAGAGCATGGTAATACAATGGGGCAGTGACAATGACAGTGACCAGCAAGACAACTCAAGACATGCATCCAACACTTTCGTCGACCCCCCTAATGCCTCGCATGATCAAGAAGTACAAGCATCGTCATCTTCCTTTTGTACCGTCACCTCTTACGCATCATTCACCTCGTATGCCACATCAGGCTCTGCACCTACTGCTCTAGATGCCAAAAACACGTTTCGCCACCACGACCGAGCACCGGATCCTAATGTCCACCCTATGTGGACAGTTCCTATGGTCACGATCACCGCTGCCTCACCAACCATCCCCCCGCCACGCGCTAAAGAAATTTCTCCCATACTTCACGAACCCCACGTAGAACCCTCTTTGCTAGCTGTTCCCGTCCTCGTTCCTACTCCGAGGCCTACAGCACGCCTGAGGCGTCCGCGTCCACATCCACGCCCACAGACGGCACCTGCTTCACCCACCGTGCCGCATTTTCCGACTCCAACTTCGAAATCACCGCGGACTGCCGGAGCGTCGTCAAGGTTCAAATCTATATTCCGCAGTCTCCTTAGTCGTGCAGGCTGATATCATCAGGGTCATCTTTGATTTTGGCAAGAAGTTTGATGCTGATCCTCCAGTATATTGTTATCTGGAGAGACGCTTACGCCCGTTTCATGTGGACACGATTAGCGAGATAGCTACTATCCTATTTCGTTTGGGTTTATGGTCACCTGTCTTGGGCATGCGAGTGCATGATAATGGTTTTGGGAACGGACACTGCTTTCTTTGACTTGCACGTAATTGATGTGATGATTATTTACATACATTGTACTAGAACGTTCTTCATGACTTCACGAAGATGAAACAGATATCTTGGGACTACATGGTCAATAATATATGAACGTGATGACTCAAATTTGATGAACGTGCACACTAGTTGGATTGTACTAGTTTCATGGAAGATTCTACGCAAGAAGGAGCGACAACGTTCCTCACATGCGACTGGTCCGATAAGTTGCACAGTCACGGTGCCGCATGACCCTGAAAAGTCATCGCAGGACCGATATTCTTAGATGCTATCGTAGGGGCTGAACGTTGAACGTTGAACGATGAGCTGCAGTGCAATAACCCACACTAATATTCAGGGTTTTGATTTCGTTACTTTGTCGTTACTCATGATTAATTTGTGAGCGGCAGATGGGTGGACCTTACGATACCACTGATATGGAGGTACAGGAAGTTTTCTTTACATTAAATGCAATCATACGGCAGTTGAATAGCATTCCTCGGTAAATTGGATGTCTAACGAGAGGGCGGGCTATACAAGAAACGATTCAGATCTGGTCCTAGTTGAGGCTGTGAAGCAGCTCAAAGTCTTGGCCCAGTGCGCGCGCTTCTGGCACTCTGCACTAGTAGCCTCGAGAAAGACTGCCAATCTCTACCACAAGATAATGGAATTACAACCATCAACCCCTTTTGAGAATTTGAAGACTATGGAGGACTCGCACAGGCGGTCGCACGTTTACCCGATATCCGAGTCGATGTATGGTGACAAGCTCAGAAGACGAGGTTGCTCGTTTGTAGGGCTTCGAAGATGGAACAAAATAGTGGGACAGTCAATTGAATGGCCCAAGGATAGCCAGTAGCGATGCCAACTTAGACCAATCGGAGACGACCCATTATTGACGCCCACTTATGGGGGATCGACTTGATGGAGTTTTCCCCAGATGTAGCTCAGTCCTAGCGACTGATAAAGCTATGGAGCACAGAAACGTGGTAGGTGTTGCAAGGACGTCTAATCGATCGTGGAATACTAGCCAATCGTGACTGTGTCCAGTACTTGCCGTCCGGCGAACTTATTGTCACTGAAGTCTGAGGACGAGGGAAATAACCACACACTTCGAGGGAGTTGTCATTTAAGTTGCCGTCAACCGGACAGGTCGTGGCCGTGCACTTTGTTGTGCAGATCGATTTGGAGAGGCCACTGATGCGGATGGATACGAGTGATGAAGTTATGAACGCCGGCCTCAGTTGGCTGCAGATCCTGCTCTAGCTGCACGCGACAAAGCTATCGAGCTATCTTCGGCGGTGATCAACCTGGTGTAGTGTTGCCAATCCGAGGCAAACTGGGTGTCCAACATTTTTTGCGCCTTGTCGAGTAAACTCAGCAGTTTCATCAAGTAGGATTGATTCGAGATCTTCGAGATTATCGTGGAGACTCCGAAACACACGAAGTTGATGCCCGAAAGTTCGGAGCTGCTCCCACGGTTCTGTTCTGCCACAGTCACAGCGGCCACTAGCCGATTCGATAACCGATATCATGATTGCAAACCCCAGCGCACCTATCTACTAGCCGGCACTAGTACTCATTTTAGGAATCCATAATCACTGCGGCAGTGCGGCCATCGATCTCAACCCTTCGTCTTTGCTTGAATATGATGATCAGCAGAAGTATGCAGCGCTACCGTAACACGGTGCACAACGCGATGACGATGCTACCGATGCCCTCCAAAATGATACTATCAATGCCTTCAAAATGATACTCCCCCAACATGCTTTTAACATTCAGGACCAGGCCGCCGCCAGGTACGAGGTAGGCCCTCAACAACACACGTGTCAGCATGCTTGACTGTCTTCAGAGCTGTGCCAACAGTATGTCTCCTTTCGAAGCAGAAGGTGCTGTTGGGTGGGTGATTGGCGCTCAAATGGAAGTCGCCTACTTGTTTCTACTGGACGTTTATGTGATCGAGAGGCACAGATAAATGCCTTCACAACGAGCACCGAGCACAAGGAGCGTTTGTCATCATCAACGGAGCATGCAGACCTCCGAATGGGGCTCATCGTACTTCCATTATGCCATATTATCACATAGATGGGAAGGGCACGAACCACTGGGATAAGATCGTATACGACTTAAACCCAGTTGGTGGCATGCAGTCATTGCCCGCGATGCTGCATGACAAGAATAACAATGTCGAGCTTCAACGTTAGGAATGGTCAATTCCATGTTTAGTCTGGCGCACTGGCAAAGAGCGCTTGGAATACACGGGGATGAACTGTTTAAGGATTCTCTTCTACCAACAAGATTAGACCCTTTATCTCGACTATCCTCCCAATCACAAGCAGTCCGTTGTGATTGTGCAGGAGTTGAACGATTTGATGGGCATAGTCGGATGCACGGGTCCTTGTCGCCTTCTGTCCAGGAATGATAGGTGCCCCTAATCAGCGTCGATGCGTGTTATCGCATTATAGGAAGATATCGCATTCTCGCAGTTTGACATCTTCGGTGTCCTCCTACCAGCAATGGCGAGAAGAGGCAAACCGCTGTCAGGCCGCTATTGCAGGAGATCGTGGCTCATTCGGGTGATATTACTGCCCTGAACTGGGTCGGACAACTTGAATCATAGCTGATTTCCAGTCGACGTCACTTGATATGAAGCTCCATCATTCCTGCTGCTATTATTGTCTGATGAAGGAATACGGACATCGGTCTGCTTGTGCGACGTGTCGGGGCCGTAAAGCTGGCTTCAACATTATGTAACATACATGAGTCACTGAGCGTTGCTCGTTTTGCGCACCACCGCCTCCATCTACCTTGCCCTGTATATCCTGTCATTGAAGTCAGATAGTACCTGGTTTCACCCGTTAAGCCAGGGTAAATGGGCTTCATGACCGGTTATCGCCACAGAAGACAGGCTGATCAGGCTGTTCGTAACATAATGAACTCCATCAGGACAGTTGAGATATTGTAGCTGCATGTATGTAAGTGATTTCCGGTGCGCAGCTAGCCTGATTCTGGTCAACAAGTTCTATGGATTCTAAACTTAAAATGTACATTTGTAGTTTGAATTTTCTTTATGCACACAATGTTAGACTCCGACTCGGAGATCACATATATGTTGAAAACTAATCCGCGAATCGTCTCACAGACGGATGTGCCAGTGAGGGCTGGCTGTACTTAGTTTGCAAAGACACTGATCGCAGTGTTGAGAACGGTCCTGTCAGGCGTGTGCTAGAGCTTGGTCACGAGAACCTCCTGAACTGCACATGCGTTGAGACGAAGGCTCCTATTTCTGAATCGGGACAGACCTAGCTAAAGATACAAAGAAAGTTGTGAGTGTATTGAAACTACTCGATGGTGGAGTCGCTGCGCTTATACGCGGCACGATAACACAGATCTAGAACAGGGGAGTTGCATATATTATAATATTGTTACTAGCGTTCGCCAAGAAAGAAAGTAATTGCCTAGTAGTCATAATGGAAGGCCTTCCGAATTATGGGACATAGGATCAGCATCAGTCATGTGGAGGGCACGCGAGCACCAGAGATGTGGCACGAAAAGAGGTTAGACTAGTTGTCGTACTAGAAAATCAGGGAATCAGGTAGGCGTGCTTGTTATAGCACCCTCTCGTTCATTAGCGAGTTCGAAGAATTCCAAGACGATTTAGTGTAAGCGCACTTCAAAGCTTAGATTCCAAGCTCTCATTGGTCGATAACAGGCTTGAAAGACCTTCCCGCAGAAGATCAGTCATGGGGCTGCTCTTCCTGGACCCCCGTTCAACAAAAACATGGGTGTAACCTCCGACAGCTGCGGGTGCATCTTTTCCCTCCTCAAATACCGCGACCTCATACGTCACAGAACTTGAACCGAGCTTCACTACCCGAAGGCCGAGATCCAGCACCTGAGGAAATGACAGGGGGGAGAAAAACTATTACTGGAATTGTGAACACCTGATCAGAGCATGGAGCCGTTTGGCACTAGTACTTACTTGGCAATGGGACGAGACCACCAGTCCAATTTGGGCAGAATCAGAGGTGAGTCCGCATCGTTGGATGAGAAAAGTGTTGACTACAGAATCAAAGAGGTGGTAGTAGACGGAATTGTTGACGTGTGAGTACTGGTCGTTATCAATCCTTGACACGAGTTAAGTTTCATGTATATGTGTAATCATTAAGGAAAAGTGAACTGTACCAGCGAGTTCGGTAGGAGAGGAAGAAAATGTAGTCGGAACGCGTGTGTGCACGGTGTGAGCTCATGCCAGTGGTGCGTGCAAGCAATCCGACGTAGTACCTAATACCTATTGGAAGTGTGGACGCGGGTTGGACTGAGTATGTAATACAAACGACCACGTGACGATCAATTAAGTGCGACGCGTTGTTTTAATTACCCTTCTTCAACCGCGATCATCAAACCATCTTCAACTTATACATACCCTGACCACCTACCACCATGGAACGCCTGTATGTACCATGTCTAAGATTATGAATAATACCTGAGCAACTTCCCAGTCGCAAACAGATGGCATTTGACCCTAGTTTATACCCAGAGTTCAAGAAACCAACTGATGCAAAGACTTCAGAACTGCCAAGCGTAATCGTACGTCCTCATGTTTAACTTTATCTCTTCACTCAACACGATATTATGTAGTCTATTTTAAGTTCTTCTACATCTTCATCTTCTGCAGCCTCAACGGTGGCACCGACAGCTCGACACAGAGGCCGAACAACAATCGTAATATCTTCTGACGAAGAAAACGAGGACTTGTACGTATTCGCTTCTCTCAGCGTGACGTGCGACTCACAATTTTTGGTGATGCTGTTAAATAGACCTGTTACCCAGTCGCGATCCTCTGCTCAACCCCCACCAGCTGCTCGTAACAATTTCGTCATGGATACCTTGAAACAGGCCCTTCCCGTGCCTCCTCTCGAGCGCAAACAGGTACCAGCACCTGTTCACATTCCTTCAAACCGTGACATTCTTCCGGGCCCTTCCAACTTTAATTCGGCGGTGGATGCATCGCATCAGGCATACATCTACGAGCCCCGGATGTCTGCTACTGAGACTGAAAAGGCGTTGCGCGCTCTCGTAGAAGATAGTATCACCCCTGATGATGAAATTGAGATCGACATGGATGAAGCCATTGTGGAGGGCTTCCAAGATGGTATTACACTTCTCCCGCATCAGGTCCTTGGTCGTGCTTGGATGCGTGATAAAGAAACAGGTAAGAAGAGAGGTGGAATACTTGCAGACGATATGGGGTAAGGCTGTCATTACTATTACTCCTAGCGTATAGTCAAGCTTTTTTTGTGCAGTCTCGGGAAGACTATTCAGACACTTACGCGAATCGTCGATGGTCGTGCCAAAAAATCTGATAAAGCGGACGGTTGGGCTGCCACGACCTTGTAGGTCAATTGTCTTTGATATTTTGTTTGTTAAATTCATGATTTCTAGGGTCGTTTGTCCAGTTGCGCTTGTCTCTCAATGGGCCTCCGAGATCGCGAAGATGGCTGTAGGATTACGTGTGATTGAACACCATGGACAAAGCCGCACCACGGGTGGGTGCTTTCCACTCTAAATGGTATCCAACTCAATGCAGCACAGACCCTCTGAAACTCAAGTCTGCACACGTCGTGGTCACTTCGTATTCCATTGTAGCTTCTGAATACGCGACCTTTGCACCTCCCGCAAAGGACGAATCCAAGTCCAAGTCAAAATCCAAGAAGGCAGCATCCCAATCGGACTCGGACTCTGATTCTGATGAGATTGTTGCGAGGAAGAAGCCTGGAAGGGCAAAAGGCAAAGACGCATTGTTCCACGTGAAATGGTTTAGAATTGTCCTTGGTGCGTCGCCACCCGAGTTGGCTGAATAATTATCTGACGTGTATATAAAGATGAAGCACACAATATCAAGAACAGGAATACGAAAGCGGCTATTGCATGCTGCGAACTAGATGGGAAGTTTCGCTGGTGTCTTACAGGCACACCCATGTGCGTTTAAAGTTCGCGTTATGTGAAGGCAGTCCTCCAAATTTCTTTTCAGGCAAAATACAGTGGATGAACTGTTCTCTCTCCTCAAATTTATCCGTGTGCGTCCGCTCAACGACTGGCAAAACTTCAACGAACAGATCGCACAGCCTATCAAGGCTGGGCGACCAGTACGTGCCCTTAAACGACTTCATGTGGGTCCTTTTGTGCATGTGTATTGATTCATTGCCCTACAACTCCACCTCTTGTGCAGGTCGTTCTTCAATCCATCATGCTCCGACGTACCAAGGATCTCGTCCTTAATGGAAAACCTATCATATCCCTTCCGGCACGGCATTTGACTGTTGTTCAATGCAAATTTGATTCAGACGAACAAGCATTTTACAACACGCTCTCGAAACGCATGACCAACGAACTTGACAAACTTGTTCAGGCCAACGAAGCGTCCAAGAATTATACCCACGTGTTGCTTATGCTTCTGAGACTAAGGCAGGGTAGGTTGGTTCGTGTACTGACTTTGCATCACATGCTAATTCAGATTCACTAGCTTGCAACCATCCGTCCCTTGTGTACAAGGACTACCGCATCGACTCTGAGGCCGCCGAGCCTCGCCCCACTAAGAGCGATGATGGTGATGAAGATGCCGACGAGCTTGCGACACTTTTAGGACAGATGGGTGTCTCGAACGGCAAGAAATGCCAGTTGTGTCAGGCGAAGTATGTTACCTTCGCTGACATACAGTAGGAATTCTAACTCATCTTCTTTGCGCAGCCTCATCTCTTCCGATTCAGACCACTGTACCGACTGTACCGAAATCGCTGCCAAGGCCCGACGCAAGTCTGTGGCCGCACCAACCGCTCGTGATCCCAACTTACCTCCGGATTCGGCGAAGATTCGCAAGCTGTTGGAAATTCTTCGGGACGTGGATGAACGAAGCGAGAGTGCTGAAAAAACGATTATTTTTTCTCAATTCACCAGCATGCTGGATCTGATCGAACCATTTTTGACTGCCGAGGGAATCAAGTTTGCTCGATGTATGTTTTTTTTTGGCTTCTCATCACTTGAGGTTTCTGACTTGCTATGATGGCGCGATGTAGATGATGGAAGCATGACGAAGGATAAGCGTGAGGCATCGCTGGAGAAAATTCGAAACAGCAAGAACACGCGCTGTATCCTGATTTCATTCAAGGCCGGAAGTACTGGTACGTTCCCTCCAACTCACAATGATGGCGAGTCCCTAATATTTGCGTTCTAGGGTTGAATTTGACCTGCTGCAATAATGTGGTCCTCGTTGACATGTGGTGGAACCCTGCGCTCGAGGTCTGTCCCAGACTCACTTTTTTGAATTCAGGATTAACCACAGGGACAGGACCAAGCATTCGATCGTGCTCATCGCTTCGGGCAAACACGCGAAGTCAATATCTTCAAGCTCACTGTTCCCGAGACCGTCGAAGAGCGGATCCTTGAGGTAAGTCATGTGACATTTGCAATTGAAGCTGTAATTGAGCGATGGCGCTATATAGCTTCAAGAGAAGAAACGCGAGCTTACGAAAGCGGCGTTGAGTGGAGAGAAGATGAAGAATATGAAACTCGGCATGGATGATTTGTTGGCGTTGTTCAGGCCTGGGGCGCACCATGATGATGACGATGAGGAATGATTGAATGTCCGTACGTGCTAGACACGTTGAGGTCTTGGTTTCGATCGTATGTGTTTATGCTGTTCTCGCTGTTGTTTTGATCTACGTATCATTTCGTGCTTGCGTGCAATGCTGTTCTACATAAATGCTGTTGAGCGTTGGCGCTGAGCGCTGAGCGTCGACGAAATATCGATTTTCCTTTTCTGGTTGTTGGTGACGCGTTGCTCATGCCGAGCCAAGACTCAGAGCAGATTGGGTCTCGAGCTACTGGAGTCGATGTCCTGTTTTGCGATCATATGTGCTTATTATTCAATTGTCTGGGTCTAACATATTGCAACGATTCTCTTGCACCCGTTCACGTAGGAGTAGGTATGTTAGGTCACTCAGCGCAACGTTGTTGGTCAGTGACCACGTGCTGATTGTCAGCGGAGCTTGCAGCTTGCAGAGCCACTGACAGTGATTTGGTGTTATCATAGACGTTTCATGATAGAGTTGAATCTTTAAATCTTAGAGCCTAGATGAACACGATCGATACCAGCTCTCAAGGATCCACATCTGCAGACGTTTGGGACCAGCCCAGTGCAAGTAATGATGTTTGATACTGGACCACGAGACCTGACGGTGCCTCTTTAGGATTACTCTGGCCTAGGCGCTGCAACTAAATCACAGCGGAAGGCCCAACGAATCGTTCCAGACGACTGGGATAACGATGAAGATGAGGAAGAAGATAACGCCAAAGTTTGGGAAGACGCGTAAGTCTACTGTTCTCCTTCAGCTATCAGTCCCAGCATTAACTCCTCTGCACATTGCAGAAACAACAAAGCACCCATGCCAGAACTAATCATCTCTCCCTCAAGCACCGGGACATGCGTCGTCCCCCCTCCCCCAGCTGCCTTCCAACCGACGATGCGCATCCTGAAACGGCCCTCTCCTTCTCAATCAGCCTCGAATGTCACTACCTCGCTCTCTTCGCAGACGCGCAACACTCTTGCTGAGCGTGAGGCTCAATATCAAGAAGCTCGTAATCGAATATTTGGAACAACGGGCGAGCGTGGCAGTGATGATTTGGAAAGCCGACGCGGGGTGCCGGTGAGGAACGGTAGTGGTAAGGGAGCAGATGCTGGATCTGCGGCGTCTGCAGTGCTGCGTGCTCCTACAGGTCCGTCAGATGCAGAAAAAGGGGTGGGTCGGACCAATGATCTCCCTCCAAAGGGATTTCGTGACAGGAGGAATGGGAAGAACCAGAACAGCACATCTTCGAGTATGTTACCACGGACTTCGAGTTGATTTTTCTGGTGTTCAGCTAGGTTCTTACTGTTAATTGATCGTTGTATTTTTGTCTTGTACACGTTCAGCCCTAATTTAATGCAACGCGCTTTTGAGTCGGAGAGCTCCTTCACACGAACTCGCCGCACGTCAACTACTGTATGTACAAGTCTTTGGAGCTCTCGGCCCGACTTCTCATACGCCTCAGGTGTGAACAAGAAGTTTCAAACTCTGATGGCATTGGCTTAACCAAATACACATCACATCGGAAACAGTTACATCACGACTAAGAGCCAGCACGCTGAGCAGCGGAGACAGTGACGCGAGTGCAACATGAAGTATACCAGAGCAGGTTGTTGTGTCGCCGTCTGGACCTGTATTGGGTGGTTGAGCGTGGTTGCGCCGCAAGCTGAACTGCTATTGGGGACAACTGACTAATCTGAGCATTAGTCTTCACAGAGGGGGAGGCGCTACGTAGACTCTCTGAAGATCCGGTTATGCATATAGCAGAACGAGGGACACCTGACACACTGCTTGCCTGTTTTTTTCTTTCTTCCAGCACGATTGTTACAAGCTACGGGCCAGTGTACTACGCGAAAAGACTACGCTTTGGGCGTTATTGCAGCGCAATGGACTCGCTTGATGTCGGGCGATGACAAGAGGGAATGAGACCATTCCGAAGGTGGCAAGACGAGGAAGGGTTGGGACAGTGGCATTAGCATCGGCATTGGCGAGAAGGACCAGATGTTGTCGAAGGAAGATAAGGCTTCGAATGTCTATCAACGATATTGGTACTCTTTGAAAGGGTACCAGCTGAAAAAGTAGCCATAACCATCAAGTGCGCAAAGGATTTGTGGCGTCGACCTTTATAGCTTAGCTGCAGAAGAAGGCCGAAGGTATTTAATTGCAGGAGTAAGCACTGAGTCCTGACTTCAAGGCAAGACGGCGGTGGTGAGTTTCCTACTAGTAATACTATAGCTATACAAGGATGACATTACGCTCTACTAATGCGGTGATCTTTTTGGACAGCATTTCTTTCTCTCCGACGGGATGGACAGATCATGAGATTGTAGATTATTGGTTCAGTAATCACTTTATTCCTACAGTGGAGAAATAACCTTGTTCACACAAGGTCACTAGGGGAGTTCACAGTTGCGTTGTTTAGGCGTTTTTCGCTCGTTGTTCAGAAAAGTTTTGAGGCCTGAAAAACACTGAAAAACGTTGGTCGACTGTGATAACCCTGTTGTTCGCGCGCTGGTCAGCAAATTTGTCGCATCTCTTGAAAGGGTTGCCGAGTCTGCCGACACGGCAACAAACATTATATAATCCATGCAGGTGGCTGCGATAACAGCAGACTGAGTTAGATTTACTGTACCATCTCACCATGCCCCGCAACACACCACGAGGACAAGCTATTCAGGCTGTATATGATGCTTATGTCCTAAATCTTATCACCCAAACTCAGTCAATGATCAACAACGAGATTTATGACTCATCCAATGGATCTAATTCTGATCACTCCTCATCATCTGACACTGATGAAAACCTCGAGATCACAAATGCCACCGGTCAGGTATTCCTGCAGCTAGCCAGTGACATATACTCCCAAAGATATCTGACCAATCGGGTCAATATCAATAAAAGTGGCCAAGATCTCACTCTCCTCACTGATTGGAAACTCAATCGCCCTGAAATCTTCCGCTCATATGTCCGAATGTCTCCCGAGTCTTTCAATGCACTCCTAGCTGCTATCCAGGATGATCCAATTTTTCAGAATAATTCACAGAATGCACAGGATCCTATTGATCGACAACTTGCAGTTGCCCTGTTTTGCTTTGGCCATTATGGCAATGCTGCCACTGTAACAAAGGTTGCACTGTGGGCTGGCATTGGATATGGTATGGTGAGGTTGTACACCAACCGCATCATGATTGCAGTGTGTCGGGATCACTTCTGAAAGGCTGTGGTTCACTGGCCTGATGCAAATGCAATTGAGCGAGCTAAGGAGTGGGTGGAAGAGGCATCTTGCCCAGCTTGGCGACATGGCTGGTTGATGGTGGATGGGACTCTAGTTCCACTATACCAGTGCCCAGGGTTTTATGGTAACACCTGGTTTGACAGGAAAAGTAATTATTCAATGAATGTGCAGGTAAGTCAGCCACCAGTACAACTGAATCCTGATCCATATTAACCAAATAAATAAGCTCATTTCAACACCTGACTTGCGTATCATTGACTATGGTGTTGGTATGCCTGGAAGTCAACATGATGCAACAGCATGGGCAGAAACACGGCTTCCTCAAGAGCACTCCATCCTACTAGATGATAGTGAGTGGGTTTGGGCAGATTCTGCCTATCCACTGGAAAATTGGTGCCAGTCACCCTATAAAGTGTACTAAGTTTTTCTAATCTGAGCCAAAAAAAAAATACTCAGTATTCTGACAGGCCAGAGAGAGATTTACCAGAGAATAGCTGGTTTAATTATTACCTGTCTCGTGTCTGAGTCCATTCGGAGCACTGTGTAGGATTTCTCAAAGGACGCTGGTGTTCTCTTCGAGGGCTTCGATTATGCATTGACAAGCCTTGAGATCTTCAGTATGTTTGCCTCTGGGTCACTGCTTGCATCATCCTCTATACCTTTGCAATGGATCAAGAAAGATCAGATGATGATTTTTCTGCAGACAGGTTCTATCAGAAGGGTCTTCGGATCATGCAAAGGAGACTGCAGAAAGGGCACAATGGCTGGCAGAGCGAGAGAACGATGAATTAATATTTCGGGAGGAGGCATTACTAGAGGGCAAGCTAAAGAGGGAAGAACTAAAGAAGGCAATGCTCGCATTCGAGAGTGGTAGAGAGATGGAGTGAACAGTGGTATCAAAAGAGTGGTTCAAAAATGTAGACTGATGAAACAAATACTGGTATTAAAAGAGTGGTTCAATCATGATTAAAAAGATGAGCTGAAGGTATCAAAACGCAAACCTGAACTCGAAGCCCCAAACATGTCAACTTGAGATTGGTGATTGTAAGACAAAGCTTGTTGTAGACAGGCAAGCTCAATGCAGGCCTGGATCATCTCACGCTCATGCAAGCAATGACATTCTGCTTCATCTCGCTGATGCTGTAAGCGGAGACGCTCAAGCTCAATTGTTGCCTTAGCCTTCGTATTCTCACATAAAGTCTTCTCCTTCGCACTGACAGTCATGACTTTCAACTGGGTGTCCTGTGCAATTAGTGCCATCTCCTGAAAGGCAGTAGCAGGGTTCCTGCGACTAGTACTCATCGAGCGAGCTGAAGATGACAAGGCAAAGGAAGATGTCTTGGCAGGTATCTTGAAAGATGGTGGAGATGGCAGCCGAGGAGAGCTAGGTCGTGTAATTGGTTCTCCGTCTGACTCTGGAAGGTTACCCTCAGAGTCAAAAGTCCAGTCGGGAGATCCAGACCACTGTGCATAATTTAAATATGAAGTATGTAGACATAACATAGATGACATACCTTAATGTTTGGCACATGCTTTACATGTGAAGGAGACTCAGAGTTGTCGTGTATACCTGCTACATCAATATCCAGTTCGTCTGACGGTGCTCGATGAAGAGGTCCAAGATCCAACAAAGTAGAACCATTGAGGAGAGCAGATTTGTCGATGACTGGCCTCTTTGTCATTAGCTCTTGCATCCGCAAATACCACGGAAATTCATGGAGGATCTTGTCTAATATAAACTGAGGTCAATATTTCTGTAAATAATAAATGAACTCACCTCACATGTTAGCCAGCGGAGTATCAGGAGTGATCTCATGCTGATGGTCTGTCGTGAGCAGACCCTGGCCAGTTTGACCAAGTTCCTGGTAGTGTTTCGAGTAGGATTCCTTGAGGCTGCATGATGATTAGTATACTGAATCATTTATTTTCGTATGAAACAACTTACTATCTGATTCGCTGATAAATGGATTTACCAAGTTTCGAGATCTCGAGATCCTTCCATCTGCTTGTTGGATCCTCATTACCAAGATCATCAAGCAAGAGTACCTTCTCTGCAATACGTTCTGTGTGCTCCTTGACCTTCTTACCACTGGAATTCACAGATCCTGCATCACCTTTATTGAACCCAAAGGCAACTTTGTAAGTCACGTGCTCAGATATGACTGTGAGCAGCTTGTCCGTCAGAGCGAACATGTTTGGGTTGGACCAACTGCAAAATTCAGCTAAATATAACTGAAACCTCATGCACTTACTTGACGACTCTCCGACTGGAACTGGCGGCAGCTTTCTTGATGGACGCTGCATCACCTAGGTCAGGCTTGACTTTGGGCCTCCTGGCAGCCTTCTTGGCCTTGGCGACAAGCAGTTTTACAGCCAGAAGTTTGCTGGGCGAAGGTGGCAGAGAATCGGTGTCCTTCCCGCACCCTGATTGAGTGCGGATGGGCGCCATAACCTTGAAGCGCATCGCTGCAGCCGCCAGCGCTCGACTAGAACAAGCAGTCCGATTGGGGATTGAGTGGAATTCAGACTCCGACGGAGCATGCCAAAGTTACGATTTCTAAACCATTGGCCACCAAGGTGACCGACAGAGGTGAACAACAAAGCGACAAATTTGGCGAAAAACACTTAAACAACGCAACTGTGAACTCCCCTACTGTCAACTGACAATTGTGGCTGTGGCGTTCCACAACAATGTGATCGTGCGAAAGAGCCAAATAATTAAGTAATCACAGCCAACTGCTACTGACTCCAAGTTCTCAATGCTTTACTTCCCTGACTCTACAAAGAATCACTCTCTCCACGTCTAGTGCTGGCCCCAGAGCTACTGCCATGCGCACATACCTGGGTATGCGAGATAGTGAAGAGCCAGTTTGAGACCCACCAATTTCTGTAAACTAACTCAGAACCAGTGTGAGTTCTCTGGTTACCCAAACCATTGAACTTGTTTTTTTATACTTGCCCCATTCACCAAGCATACACATATAAACCTGCATGCCTTCCTTGTCCGAGGTTCCGACTCAACTTGGCTTGCGAAGTCTAGACTCTGACCAGTACTGCAAAGTAAGTAATTATTATTGTATACTCCCCCCATCTTCCCATTCGACATCTTCCTGAGTTGTCAAGCCTTTTGTAGGCCTAGCGACTCGGTAGGCTGCACATGCTTGGAGATGCATTATGACCACCCTCCAACATGTCATCCAGTCCACTCAAACGACGCAATCTTGGCGCTGGTCCTTCATCAGACATGCCTTTCAAAGGAAAGAAACGAGCTCATACATCTTCCACAACTAATGGTTAATACAATTTTCAAATTGAAACTGTGCAACAATTCATTACAATTGTTTATCAGAAACCATCTGAATATGCTCTTGTAGTATCATGTTGTATTTGCATAGCAAAGTTCGTGCAGCTTTTCTTGATCACAACTCCAGCTCGACTCTCGAGTCTCAAATGTAATATACTGTGGCACTGATGTATGATTAATGTACCAATTAATGTACCACATGCTTCCATACCCTGGTCCAAAACCATATCAATAAATACACAACACTTGTGGAACAAGGTTCCTGCTGGTGAAGCTTGGCCATTTCTAGTATCGTGTTGATCCTGAGAAGCCAATTGTTCACCTATTATTCCCACATATCCCAGTTAGTAAAGTGGTACCACAGTTATCACAGAACCACTTAATTAAGCCTGGAGGCATTCCTATGCAGCACTGGCGGTGCACACCGGCAGGTTCTATAGAGTTGTACTTAGCTTTTCTACCTTATGTATGTAGTATGTATATAGCACCGGCGGTGTGCCACTGCCGGTTTATTTAATAACATGGCTCAATTTGGCAACTTCATCACCTCACATAAGCAGTGCAGCGCCGCCATCCTTGTGCTCATCGTCTGCAACAGCGAGCTCGAGTAGATCATCAAAATAACATATTTTTAATAGCAATTTTTTGATAACAAACATACTTCTCATGGACAGAGGTAATGTGCACATAAAATGGTTGATATATTGGCTGAAAACTATTCTACTACATGGTGTTCTCTTGGTCTGAATCAATGATGGCCTTGCTTTTTTTTGTGCGCTGTCCACCTTTTGCTTTCCACTGCTGTACTTTGTCAGTCTCACATGAGTCAGAGTCCAGCTGTTGTGCCTTTTCAGTGAGCTTGCAGGCACACTTCGGGCATTGTCCCTTGGATGGTGTCGTGTCGTCAACAGGGCGCTTGTGATTGTGATTCATCATCGAGACCAGAGCATCTTCATTAGCTGGAGGAGGTGAGGCTGTAGCACGAGGTTGAGGCTGACTGGAAAGCACACAAAGTGCAGGATCCACCAAGTCATCTGTTACTGAGGAGATGCGAGTAGATTCAATGGGAAGGGGATTGTTGTCATCCTCAAAAGGAGACGACCCAGAATCATTCTCGTTCTCAAAAGAAGGAGGCCCAGAATCATTCTCATTCTCAAGAGAAGGAGGCCTGGAATCATTCTCATCCTCGAGCGGAGAAGGTGAAGAAGGTGTAGCAGTTGTGGGGGGTGATGCTGAAGGAAGAGTGTCAGGCGGCATGGGAGGCTTGAGCTCAGGAGTGAGCTTTTCCCCATTCTTGATATGGTTCATCCACTCTTCCACTTCTTCATGTGTGATTGACACGAACTTACAAGTGCCTTCTGCAATAGCGCTGGTGACTTTCTCAAGGCTTTCAATCCCCCCCTTTAAGTCTGACAGTGTAGGTATACAACACAGAGTGGGGCTATACAAAGATGGCTCCAAACTGATATCTTCATGTTGTGGTCTTGCACTGCCTAGTCTGCTATACTTGGTGACAAGTGTGTTCGACCCAGGGGTCTGCGGTCTGGGAATAGTTTTTGGGGTGAGTGGGTGATGTGAGGTCAATAATCCGAGCGCAGGAAACAATGTCCGAAGGTATAATTACGATGTCCGATGCAAAAGCGTCAGGTCCAATGTTTTTTGAGGTTTGGGTTTTGGGTTTTGGGTTTTTGGGTTTGGGTTTGGGTTTGGGTTTGGGGTATCAGAAATTAATAGTGATGTGATAGCGAGTGTCGGGAAAGCGAGCGGTGTGCGCAATAATGACGATGACAGATACGGACGGTGAAGGAACAATGATATTCGCAATGCCAACTAAGAACTACGAAATATTGGGTTTGACCCCTAAGCATCGGAGACAATTCTCCTCTACTCGGATGATGATGATGCTATGGGGAGTCCAATATTTATGTAGATACATAGAAATCCAGAACCCTATAGGCGAAAGTAGTAGCGCAATATTTCGGATCCGATGTCCTATGTAATAAGACATGATGTACTGTGGACCATGGGAATACATGTAATAATGTGGTCGACAATGTTAGGGATGTGAAAACAAGTAACTACGCACCTAGTGGGGCTAGTGCAATGAAAATGGACATAGGTAGGATGAGTGCGCGCGATATCCGATCGGCCGATGCAAAACCCGATGCAAAACCTGATGTCTGATGTCCGATGTTTTTGGGTTTGGTGCGTATTGAGTCGGATATGATAGGGAATGTTTTGGATAATGATTAGCATTCAACATGCATCAGAAAATAGACCTCTACGAGGCCACAAAAACTCCAAGTCCTACAATGGGTTTTTGCTTACGATATGTGACATGGTCCGAAGTGGTGAACTGTATGTATTTCAATTTGTGCTCTTTCTATATATAACACTTACTTGTTGGCAGGATGAAATACCCAATTGCTAGTGTGAAGAAGCTGATGGACATTTTTGGCAGCAACATCCTTTTTGGTTATGACATCAAATGTGCATTCGAGAAGATCCTCCTTCGCAGCTCGCTTGCAGATGATGTGAAGAGACTCAACCTGCAGGGCATTGTGCCTGCTTTTCACAGGCATGCGCACAATCGTCTTTGCCAACTCAAGCATCATTCAAAGCACAAAGTCAGTGCTGGGAAAGAAGACTTTGAGACATGCAAACGTGTTTTCTCTGAGTCAAATGCACTTGCTTGCGAGATTCAAAACACCACTAACTTCCGCCGCCATCAAGCCTTGGATGAACACTTCTCTTTCACTGACATGGACAGGTATGCTGCGCTATGTAAGTCCCTGTTCGTTTCTTTAACTCTAGGTTAACAATTCACATAGCCGATGTAGCACTCAGCCTCCGGCTGAGCTCATATTGGCCTATTTTGTTACACCTTTATTTACAGTCATTTTCCTCTCAATAGGTTCGCACTTTTACTGCTTACCTAATGATGTTTCCCTTCACCTAGTACCCTGACACCTGCACTCCAAACCCCACACAGTTTCTACTGAATACTCACTGTTTTGCTATCCCAGTATGCCTGATGCCTCCGATAGGTAGTTACAGGCTGTAGTTTTGTCGAAAGCTCCTGGTATTAGATTCCCCACTTCCTACCTGCTGTCCAGGAATTACTATTTGCTGTGTTTGCATCACTTTCACTTTCCTCCTGAGCTCTGGCCTCATCAGAAGCCCTTGGGCTGAACATACTGCTCCCCTGTACTTGCCCAGCCCATATCTTTCTTTTACACTGACTTCATCTATAACAATTATGTCCAAGCACTGACATCAATATCAACCACGGGCATTTTTCTCATGAACTTCACTGCATCAAACCCTACCACCAACATTAATTTTTAAGCTGATCTGGATGACAAGCGTCTTTTTTTACAACGGCTCACACGCAAGAAGGATGAATCTACCATCAAAGTCAATTACGTCAAGGCATTGAATGATTATGATGAGGCACAGTTAGTATTTGTCTTTCGGCTATGCTTGTACCAACATTACACTATATCAGGCTTGCATATGAATCAGCATGAGCGGAGTTTGTGAAGCTCGACTTATGACCAAATTATTCTTCTGTGGACACCGGGAATATTCAACGCCGTCACACCCATGCCACGGTCAAATGTGATCAGAAGCTGGAGGTAGTCGTTGATTATGAACATCAAATGGCACTATCCTCGAGATGGGACGTAAACCACCCTGAGCACATCAAAGCACAGTCGCACATTACTCATCGTCTTTTCCACAAGGCAGTGGATGATGTCAAATGTCTCGTCATCATGCAACTGTTGTTGAAGTATGACCGGTACATCATACACTAGTTACAATTAAGTCCATGCAACTCAGTTATAGATTAAGTATGCGCTCAACAGCCTCACAATGGCATGCATCAACATACTTCAATTTGGTTATTCAGTCGGCAATACCAAGTACATCGTATGCTAGTCGTCACTCAAGCTCATTTACACCAGACACTCACTTCTGATCACATTTGACCGTGGCATGGGTGTGACGGCGTTGAATATTCCCGGTGTCCACAGAAGAATAATTTGGTCATAAGTCGAGCTTCACAAACTCCGCTCATGCTGATTCATATGCAAGCCTGATATAGTGTAATGTTGGTACAAGCATAGCCGAAAGACAAATACTAACTGTGCCTCATCATAATCATTCAATGCCTTGACGTAATTGACTTTGATGGTAGATTCATCCTTCTTGCGTGTGAGCCGTTGTAAAAAAAGACGCTTGTCATCCAGATCAGCTTAAAAATTAATGTTGGTGGTAGGGTTTGATGCAGTGAAGTTCATGAGAAAAATGCCCGTGGTTGATATTGATGTCAGTGCTTGGACATAATTGTTATAGATGAAGTCAGTGTAAAAGAAAGATATGGGCTGGGCAAGTACAGGGGAGCAGTATGTTCAGCCCAAGGGCTTCTGATGAGGCCAGAGCTCAGGAGGAAAGTGAAAGTGATGCAAACACAGCAAATAGTAATTCCTGGACAGCAGGTAGGAAGTGGGGAATCTAATACCAGGAGCTTTCGACAAAACTACAGCCTGTAACTACCTATCGGAGGCATCAGGCATACTGGGATAGCAAAACAGTGAGTATTCAGTAGAAACTGTGTGGGGTTTGGAGTGCAGGTGTCAGGGTACTAGGTGAAGGGAAACATCATTAGGTAAGCAGTAAAAGTGCGAACCTATTGAGAGGAAAATGACTGTAAATAAAGGTGTAACAAAATAGGCCAATATGAGCTCAGCCGGAGGCTGAGTGCTACATCGGCTATGTGAATTGTTAACCTAGAGTTAAAGAAACGAACAGGGACTTACATAGCGCAGCATACCTGTCCATGTCAGTGAAAGAGAAGTGTTCATCCAAGGCTTGATGGCGGCGGAAGTTAGTGGTGTTTTGAATCTCGCAAGCAAGTGCATTTGACTCAGAGAAAACACGTTTGCATGTCTCAAAGTCTTCTTTCCCAGCACTGACTTTGTGCTTTGAATGATGCTTGAGTTGGCAAAGACGATTGTGCGCATGCCTGTGAAAAGCAGGCACAATGCCCTGCAGGTTGAGTCTCTTCACATCATCTGCAAGCGAGCTGCGAAGGAGGATCTTCTCGAATGCACATTTGATGTCATAACCAAAAAGGATGTTGCTGCCAAAAATGTCCATCAGCTTCTTCACACTAGCAATTGGGTATTTCATCCTGCCAACAAGTAAGTGTTATATATAGAAAGAGCACAAATTGAAATACATACAGTTCACCACTTCGGACCATGTCACATATCGTAAGCAAAAACCCATTGTAGGACTTGGAGTTTTTGTGGCCTCGTAGAGGTCTATTTTCTGATGCATGTTGAATGCTAATCATTATCCAAAACATTCCCTATCATATCCGACTCAATACGCACCAAACCCAAAAACATCGGACATCAGACATCAGGTTTTGCATCGGGTTTTGCATCGGCCGATCGGATATCGCGCGCACTCATCCTACCTATGTCCATTTTCATTGCACTAGCCCCACTAGGTGCGTAGTTACTTGTTTTCACATCCCTAACATTGTCGACCACATTATTACATGTATTCCCATGGTCCACAGTACATCATGTCTTATTACATAGGACATCGGATCCGAAATATTGCGCTACTACTTTCGCCTATAGGGTTCTGGATTTCTATGTATCTACATAAATATTGGACTCCCCATAGCATCATCATCATCCGAGTAGAGGAGAATTGTCTCCGATGCTTAGGGGTCAAACCCAATATTTCGTAGTTCTTAGTTGGCATTGCGAATATCATTGTTCCTTCACCGTCCGTATCTGTCATCGTCATTATTGCGCACACCGCTCGCTTTCCCGACACTCGCTATCACATCACTATTAATTTCTGATACCCCAAACCCAAACCCAAACCCAAACCCAAAAACCCAAAACCCAAAACCCAAACCTCAAAAAACATTGGACCTGACGCTTTTGCATCGGACATCGTAATTATACCTTCGGACATTGTTTCCTGCGCTCGGATTATTGACCTCACATCACCCACTCACCCCAAAAACTATTCCCAGACCGCAGACCCCTGGGTCGAACACACTTGTCACCAAGTATAGCAGACTAGGCAGTGCAAGACCACAACATGAAGATATCAGTTTGGAGCCATCTTTGTATAGCCCCACTCTGTGTTGTATACCTACACCATGCCAACAGACGGTGACAACAATGCCGGACTGCTTGAAGATAGCAAACATTTTTTTCCGAGACTTGGGAGCTGCATTGCGCCAACGGTCCATGCAGACACTGGATGGCTCTGCAGAGTCATTTGAGTCAGGCTCGTCAATCCACCGATCATCAGGGTCACTGGAAGCAGGCCGTTGCTGCCCTTGATGAGCACAAGCTGATCAAACTTTGTCTTTGAATTGGTTGACATAGGACTTGGTCAGCCAGATTGACGACATCTCTGAGCAAGGGTCTGGACTTTCCTTGCCACTGCATATTGCGGGATCAACGAGTTTAGCAGAGTTGTTGCCATCACATGCACAGAGAAAAGAAAACTCAAGAGGTGGCTCATCTACGAGGCTGTATTGGCATGCTGGGCATGAGTTAAGAATGCGCCAATTGTCCATGTCACGACCCAGGAATTTATCCAGGTGGGAGTTTATACGGCGATTGAGTTCAAGATAAACATCATATGCCACACAAAGCTGTTCGGCTAGATGGTGGTGAAAATGAACCTAATTGTATGTAAGTACAAGTACTAGAAGCGAATGACATGAGACGTACTTACATGATGAAGGGCACACAGCATTTTTGCTTGAGCTTGGATACTGAATCATGGGCAGACTCAGTGACTTTGCCGGTATACATCGAGGGTGCGGATAGTTATAGCAGTCGTTGGGCGAATAGGCAAGCTACCTATGCAGCCATAGTGGAGTAGGGACACATTTAAAAATGGTGAGACACTTCTGAAAGTGCGCACACAGCGCTCTACAAGCAGGTTAAGGTTAAGAATGCAAACACTGCACTATAGAATGCAACATACTGAATATATCTACAACCTCGATTGAAAAGTTTTCTGACGCATTGTCCGAGAGAGGAGGGTGTTCATATACCTCAGAAGAGCATCTGTTAGGTCATTGTATTGAGAAGCCCAGTCTGCAACTTGGCATGCAATGCGTTCAGAGCGATCATGGGTATCTACCCTTCTGTTGATGGTTTCTGAGTGAGTGCATTGCCCACAAACTGATGAGCAAGAACATACCTTGGTTAAGCCATTGTAATTTGCTCTAGTTCTTTATAAAGGGCGACTTCATCTCCCGCATGACTGACAGTGAAACCCTCTTCACCAGGAGGAGGCAGCATAGCATCTATGTCCATGTCATAGGCTGAAAAGTCAAAGGTATCGGATGGTGTTGCGGATGAAGAGCCTGGTCTGCTCTGATTGCTCTCAGCACCCAGTAGCCGCTTGCGTTCTCTCGAAGGAAGCTCTGGAAGATCATAAGTATGACTCCAATAAGAAGAAAGAATCATACTCTTGAGGAGTGAGGCATGAGGCTCGCGTGCATCTTCTTGCCATTGATGCAAGGCTCCAACACGGAGTGTCCTTGGTTTGGGGCCAACGTGGACAACACACTTGCTAGAGACACCACCTACAGAGTGGCGGGTTCACATGTTCAAGGGCAATGGTGAAGCTGCAGATATGGTTGATGATAAGAAGGGCGTTGAGGAGGTTTCCCACATACTATGTTGATTTATTGCCTGATTGCAAGCAAGTTAGACAACAATACCTCGGTTGTCATTCTAAGACGTAGTTGTACCATAGAGTAGAAGAAATGAGAAAAAAACTGGTGGAAAAGGTGACGATGTATGAGCTCATCATGGTAGATGATGAGTGCAAGGGTGGCGGCACTGCGCTGCTTATGTGAGGTGACGAAGTTGCCAAATTGAGCCATGTTATTAAATAAACTGGCAGTGTGCCACCGCTGGTGCTATATACTACATACATAAGGTAGAAAAGCTAAGTAGAACTCTATAGAACCTGCCAGTGTGCACCACCGGTGCTGCATAGGAATGCCTTCAGGCTTAATTAAGTGGTTCTGTGATAACCATGGTACCACTTTACTAACTGGGATATGTGGGAATAATAGGTGCAATTGTTTTGACTGTTGATGGTCATGGTTCACATGAACAAAGCACTATTCAAAGGGCAGCTTATGATAATGGTGTCATAATCCATGCCTTTCCGTCGAAAACCACACACAAAATGCAACCACTGGATGTGGGTGTGTTTTCATCTGTGCAGCATGCTTGAACCAAACATTGTGACAAACACCTTGCTGATGGGGTTGAAATTGACTGTTATAATTTTATTCATGAATACATGGCCATTCACTACGTCATCACTCCAGAACTCATCCAGAAAGCATTCAAAAAAACTGGTATCTATCCTCTCAATCCATTGGTCTTCACAGACAAAGACTTCACACCAAGCTTGATTCATTCAACCACTGCACATCTTCCACCATTGTATCCTGCCAAAGTCTCCTCTCCAATGCCAGTGGCAACTGATGAAGTCGACGAGTTGATGAGGCTGGACAGCAGCTATGAAAACAAGGACTTGGAGAATGATAATGATTTTTTCCCTATGCCAGTTGATGAACATGACTCAGAGTCAGAGTCAGAATCAGAGGAAGAGGAAGATGACAACACCTGCACCACTTGCTTGACACCACAACTACCAGGCCCCATCCCACATCCAGTCATCCCCTTGTATGTCCAGGCAATGACACTAACAAAGGAGGATCTTTGGCAAGAACTTCAGCACATGTAGTATCAGCAGGCTGGGGTATTAGTTCAGACAATGCAGGTCCTTACTGCACAGCTCAGTGCTGTGAATGTGCACTGCACAATGGCACAGCAGGCATTGGCTCAATCTTGACTGGAGTTAGAGAATTTCAAGAAAAAGAAGCAGCCGAGGAAATCTGTCAAATTACGAGCTCATTTTGTGACACACCGAGAGCTTGAGGAGGACTTCAACAAAGCGGAAGAGGAGCAGTGGGAAAAAGATAAGGCTAATGTGGTCCTGTGGAGAAACAGGCTAAAAAGAAGTCCAAAGATGAAGTGCGTCATGCTCAGATTGAACATGACATTAAGTCAAAGACATTTGATGCATTCTCGATGCTTCGGTGCAAGGATGATTTTATTGCACTTGCTGGTGCTCTCAAGATTTTGAGAGATGGGACAGTTGAGGAACTCAGGGTGAGAATCAGAGAGTTTCTTGCTGACACTGAAAATTGGCACTTTGCTGACAATCTATGTTTTTCTGCACTCTTCCAGACAGGAAAAACACGTTCAAAGAATCTGGCTGCTCCATCATCAATGGGACAGGCCAATAGCGGCACCTTGCAGGATAATGCAGACAATGGCACTACTTTGTCAAATCCTGTGACTTCTGGCAATCATTTTTTCAACTCTCCTGTGCTGCATTCAAGTTATCCTCTGCACCTTACATCTAACCAACCGTATGTTGGAGTTTGAATCATTACCGCTGTGGGTACAATAATTCTGATGGTGATTCAGAACAATGTGTTGGGTCCTGCAGAACCTAGCTGCTATTCGACCCTAAAGGGTTTCTGGACCAGGCTCAAGGCTCAGAGGAGAGGAAATATAATGAAAACTTGCTGAAGACTCAGACTCATACTGGTAACTGGTAAAAAGGTTCCTTTCTTATGTAAGCTAAGGTGCAAACATAACACTAGGTAAAACAGTCTCTACAAGCCTAGCCAGGAATCAGTTCCTACACCACTTACCTACTTTGGATAGTCTTATCATCTGCCTACCTAGTTCAGTAGCATGGTCCATGTGTGGTCTGTGCGCAGTAGCCACATGTATATAAGTAGCTGATCCACCACATGTATAGTCCTCATCCAGTTCGTAGAATCACTGCTTGATGTCTAGTTGCATTCATGTGTCAGTACCTCTTAGGTGGAGAGGAGCAGTGGCCCGCACACTCTGGTATAGGAGAGTAAGCCTGCTGGGATCATTTACTCATGTCAATAGTCTAACCAACTTGACCTCTGAAGCTCGACTTTCCTTCACCATATTTTCATCAGAATTATCAATTTTATGCTGATCCAGCTATCTACCTGCCATCTTATCCTACAATGCAGCATAGTACTAGTCCGTCCAGCGGACCTATTGCATCATTCTTGAATTTACATCACCTCAAGCATCACTTTTTGGTACCAATAAAGGGTCTAAGAGACCCACTTTCTATGTCATGGAAAAGTGGTCTAAGAGACCCAACCTCTCTACCATCTATTAATACCATGCCCCTTAATATTCTTTTGCACCTCTTGCATGGCCCTAGTGCCACCACTGGTAGGCATGATAGCCACTTGCGAAATGCTCTCATCATAGTGATGTGCACAGCCTGGCTTGAAGCCATGGGCTGAGCCAAGCCAGGCCAAAGTGACCAGAAGGCCTGGCTTGGAATTCTGGAAAGCCAAAGTATGTATTTATTACAGCTCATAGTTACACTCTCATAATTAGACTATGCTCTTTCATTTATGGGCTCAGGTCTTGACACTATTTAGGTACGTTGCACATGTAGACTTGACTCTAGATGGGGAACTGATATATTCTTTGTCAGGCACTCAGCACTGTCCTCAATTAGGTCCGTCTGACGATTGAGCATTCTTTATCAAAGTACGATGTACTCTTCATTGATCCCTCATAAAATTAATCTCAGTATGACTCTGTCTAACCCTCTTTTCAGAACAATCAAACCAATCATCGTTGACCACTATGAAAAATGGAGAATGCAAAACATTGAATGTAGCAGACCATTGTTTGACAGTAAGTTTTTCATATCTACCTCCTACCACTACTTCACTTCCCTCTGATAGTTGGAACTGTCTATACAGACAGTGATAATGAATGTTGCACACAGCCCATCCACTGAACCAAGCCAACTGCCACCCTTCAATGCCTGCCTTTGTTTCAACACCCTTCGCTGTGGCTCACAGAACACTCTATCGAAGCCCTGGTATCTCACCCTGATCTCTCCTGGCTGCAGGCTCAATTTGGAGCATACACACAGATCAAAACTGCATTCTGAGGCATGCAGGTGAGTCATGTGGTTGAATCCTGGTTTCAAAGCAACCCGTTGTAGAGACTCGCGTCTCTCAATGCGGAATATACGGCCCTATTACCCACATAATTCCCTACACGTTCCAGCTCTTATCCGAAGGATTAGTCATACGCGCTCTCACGCGCGTGCCCTACATACGCGCCTTGTTCGTGTGCCTTACATGCACTTGCGCCTTTCATGTGCGCTCGTGCACCTCCCCTTAGGCCTTCGCATCCTTGTCCGTCCGTCTGTCCTATGTCCTCGCTGATTTACTGGTGTGTTATTCTTATCCCTTTCACTGAATTGATGTACCTTCGGTCCGATCCCCGCGCTTACATACAGAAAGTCTATCTTAGGCTTTAGAATATATTTAGAGTTGATATGGTTACTCGGTTCGGTACCACGCTCGGAAGCGCGCCGCATAGCGTAATCTCCCTTCTTAAATAGAGGGAAAGTTCCTTTTAACTTACTTTTCCCTCCTCCCTTATCTGAGTATACTGCAAATTGTATAGTGCACCTTAGTACTTGAAATCTGATTATACTTCACTATTCTACCATCGCTCGTGCTTCTGTTATACTTGAACACCCTCCCCCATCACTCAAAAGCACGCTTCCGCATACGCGCGCGCCCCTCACATCCTTCGCTCGCGCACGCCCTTCGCACGCCTCCGCGCACGTTATCTTCTCGCGCCTGTTACCACCCGTCTAGTTGACGAAGACTCCCTCCATTACATTAAAGAGGAACTTCTCTCAGTAGCTGTCCTTTGGGTCAAGTCGTATTCTCATTCCTGGTCTTGCTGTAGAACCCCCAATAGCTTTAGCGTTTCACCTATAGTCAAGATTCCTCACCTTCAACTGGAGCCCACCGCGAGGGACACTTCTGAGACAACCGGTCGGGTACTCAGACCCAACAGTCGTCGCAGAGCTAGAGAAGAAGCCATCACCGCATTCGACAGAGCTATTGAATCCATTGTACCAGGTCCCTTATTCCTTCAACCCCCGCGCGGCCGGTCGCGCAATGTATCAGAACCCGCATGACCAGATCTCGCGCTCTTAGCACGTGCGCCTAGGCAACCGATATTGCCAGTAATGCCCTCGCCCGAAGAATCTGCCAAAGAAGAGTTGTCCGACGACTTTGAAGCAATAGATAACCCAAGAAGTCAACTTCCCGGAGCATTCCTCCACACGCCCAATCAACCTCCTTTTATCTCCAACCTGTCAGCGCTAAGCGCGCTAACCGACACCCCGCTTAACACACCAGCATCCCCTGTGCGCGAGAACGCGCTTTCTACAGTGGGATTACCGAAGATCAAGCAAGAAGCATTTGAAACACCACGCACACCGAACTCGATTCCAGGCGGAACTATCGTAGCAAATCTCCCCTTTGTATACGCACACCAAGCGCTAACAAGACAGAAGACTCCTGTGCCCGCAACATCCCAATCACCTATCATGTCCACAGTAAGAACCAGAATGCTTATCCGTGGAACAATGGACGTGCCTAAATTCGACGGCACCATGGATAACCTCGCTGACTTTATCGACGCATATGAGCAGCTCACTGATGAAGTAGGTCTATTAGGACTTGACCGCATCAAAGGCATTATCCGCTACCTCGACTGCGATGATCACGAATTATGGGGCGGAATGCCCAAGGCGCAAGTAAGCGATTACAATGCCTTCTTAGACGAGGTGAGGGTAATGTATCCAGGATGGGATGGCAAAAGGCGCTACGCGCTCGCGGACTTACAAGCCATTGCGCGCGAGTACACTAACAAACCAATGCCTTCTTACCAGGAATTAAGTAGCTATCTGCGCGCATTCAAGAAGGTCATGCAACTGCTTTTGGCAGAAGACCGTATTGGGAAAGCCGAACACAACCGATTATTCATGGAAGGCATTCCTAAAGATACCCAGGCGCTAGTCTGCACGCGCCTCATGATCAAGTTCCCAGACCATTACCCGCAGGACCCATATCCGTTCATGAATGTTTTCGCAGCTGGACAGTTTGTACTACCAGCAAACGCACCCGCGCTAAGCGCAACGGCTAGCGCGCCCAAGGCTGCGCCACTCGCTAACCTAATTGCCACTACTGCGCCAGCACAACCACCCGCGCAAGGTACAGTAACTAAGCACGAGTATAAGTGCGAAGCACCCGTGTTCAACGACTGCACCTTCTGTGGCAGTCTCGAACATTTCTATCCTCAGTGCATGGAAAGGCAAAGGTACATTGACGCAGGTAAATGCAAGGTTAGCGAGGAGATGCGCAAACTCGTCTTGCCAGATGGCAAGTGGATTCCTGGACGAGGACTCCTCAAAGAACGGTTAGATCGATACCACATGAGCTGCACAACGCAGGACACAACCGCTAGTGCAAGTGTGATGGCCGGGCTCTTCTATCGCACCCAAGAAGTCGACGCAGTAATCGAAGTAGGGTCATCCGCATTTGTGCACACAGTCGCGCAAATCAAGTCAGAGGAGGATGATCAGACAGATGATTTAATGGCAGAGGCACTAGCCTATGTAGCAGCGAAGCGAGACCAGAAGCACAACGCTAAAGGTAAAAATGTCCGCTTTGATGGCGTGGAAGTACCCAGTGAAACGCGCATGCATCCAAGACCCGCATCAAGACAAGCTACAGTAGAGGAAGAGATAATCTCTCCCGAAATACAAGCTTCGTCTGACAAAGGTAAAGGAAAAGAATTAGCAAAAGTAGCGCCGACAAGCGCGCCAACTAGCGCTAAGGCGCCTCCCAAGGGCACCTCGTCATCATCAACCACATCATCATCATCAGCACCACCACCATCCCCTTCACAATCTTCAGCATCATTGTCAACACCAACTTCAGCACCAGCACCAATTCAATCATCATCATATCGTTATGCATTCCCGCTCGAGGACAAGGAGGCTGACAAACTCGTTGTCGAGCGCCTCCTCGATTCTAACCTCAGCATTCCTGTAAGGGAATTATTAGCTGTATCTCCCGATGTTCGCCAACAATTTCATGAACTCACGATGAAGAAGCGCATCACAGTAGGTGCAGTATCAGTTCACAAATTATCAGGACATCCCGCTGAAGGTTCAACGATACAGCGAGGCACAAACAATGCTCCTGACTGTACCTATAAATGTTGTAAGGTCGCGCGTTGCCTAGTCTGCTATACTTGAGACGACAAGTGCGTTCGACCCTAAAGGGGAAGCGAGTGCAGCAAGGATCTAGAGGTATGCGCTGAAAGCGCTACTGGTTGGCCAATGCGAAGCGCGAGAAAGCGCAGGTGCGCGCAAGGCGCGGGAATGCGCGCGTGTATGGCGCGAAGCGTGGGAAAGCGTGCGCGTGTATACAGATACGAGAGAGAGTAAGAGTGAGTTTGCTTAAGTGATGATATGATGTAAGACAAGAGAAGAGAGATGCGAGGTGTAAACAAATAGATTTCTACTATGTTCTGCTAGGTGAATAGTGGGTAGTAACCAGTAAGTCCTCTGTCGTTCTGGTGGGAGAGTAAGTGAGTCCCGGTGGGTGAGTAAGTCCGTAAGTAAGTATGTACTGCTGGCGCTTAAGTATGGCGCCTAAGCGCTGTCATGCGGAGCCGAAGCACTACCGAGTAAGGTATGTAAAGATATATGTAAGTAAGGGTCCATGATAAAAATAAAGATGGAATGATATGCAAATATGAGAAATGGAAATATACGCACTAGGGAACTTGGTGGACAGTGGATGGATGCTTCTGGATGGCTGGCGCTATAGGGCGCTACAGCGCGGGAAAGCGCGCGCGCATATACATCGTGAAGTGCGGGAAAGGTACGCGCGCATGGCGCGCGTTGTGCGGGAAAGCTGCGCCTCATATAGAGATAGCTGCAGGTAGCACACAGAGTGATGCTACAAGTTCGTGTCATGTACTCCCCAGTGAAAACTGCCATATTGCACAATGAGAGGCATGAGTCTCTACACCGCGACCGATCAATGGTTACGCCAGTATGAAGGCGTGCGCATGTGAAGCAACGACAGCAAGATTGTCGCGGACCACTTTGCGCCCTTGCGCTGTATACGCGCAAAGACAATAGGGGGCCGCACTCTCACGTGTGTCTTAGATCAAGGTGCCGAGGTAGTGGTCATGCCAAGGGAAGTATGGAAGGAGCTCGGTGTACTGCTCAGATCAGACCATAGCCTTAACATGGAATCGGTAAATACGTCACGCGACTCGACACTAGGTGTTGTGGAGAACGTTCCGCTTGATTTCGGCGCAGGGCCCTTGTACTTCCAAGTCCAAGTCATCAAACGCGCAACCTTCGAGGTTTTACTAGGGCGCCCATTCTTTAAGCTGACTTCATGTCGCACCTTTGATCTCCCCGATGGGGAACAGGATCTCTTACTGACCGACCCTAACACGTGCAAGGAACTGCGCATTCCAACCCTACCTTGGGTCAAGCATTCGCTCGCAAGAGACACGAAGTGCGCTAATCCAGCGCACTCGCACACGCTCAAGGAGGAGGATAAGGGTTTTTAAGTTTCGATGATCCACAGCATTTGCGGGGAGACACCTATATGCACTTGTTTCCTCAATCATTTTCTTTATTGCATCACACTTCACCTTCTCGCATGGTGCCTGACGTGTTGCGCATCGCGTGCGCGGAAGGTGCTCCTCATCCCTCGCTCTTAAGGAGCAACAATGCATTACCTCCTGTAGTTGTACATCAAATTTCTTCATCATCTGTTCCGCAGTATTCCGCGCATTATGCACATCTAACATCCATGCAGTCCATTATAGATCAGGCAATGATCGACGCCTTCAATTCTGATTATTATTATGATCCCGTGCTTCATGCGCTGGTCTATAAGCCAGTCACGAAGAAAGTGCGCACCGTGCCTACCACTATGCCCGCAGAGTATAGGGTAGTGCGCCAATTGCCCAAAGACCTGTTAGCAGGGTTACCTGACTTACCCACCCATCCCCCAGAATTCTCTCCAGGCGCGCGCTTCACGCAGGAGCGCGCAGACAAACTAGACCTTGATCCAGCGAACTGGCTTTGGCCAGAGGAACTCAAATTAGTGCGCTGGCTAGTTCGCGTCCACGAACTCGCCTTTGCATGGGATGCCTCAGAGCGCGGGCATCTCAATGAAACCTACTTCCCGCCGTACAAGATCCCTACAGTTCCGCACACCCCGTGGTCTCAATGCAATATTCCGATCCCGCCAGCCACCTTAGATGAAGTTGTGCGCATCATCAAGGAAAAGATTGCATCAGGAGTATACGAGCCATCGACAGCCGCGTATCGCTCGCGCTGGTTCTGCGTCGTCAAGAAAGACGGAAAATCCTTGCGCCTAGTTCATGATCTGCAGCCACTCAACGCGGTAACAATTTACGACGCATCACTTCCCCCGTTTGTCGAGCTTCTCACAGAATCATTTGCGGGTTACGCAGTATACGCTATATTGGATTTATATTCAGGATATGACCAGTGCGCGCTTCACGTGAACTCGCGCGACCTGACAACCTTTGGAATGCCCTTGGGTCCTCACCGGCTGACCACCCTTCCTCAAGGGCATGCTAATGCTGTTCAGGTTTACCAAGGCGATACCGCCTTCATTCTGCAACATGAGATCCCAGAATTCACGTCGCCATTTGTGGATGATGTCCCGATCAAATCAGTATGAACGCGCTATCAGCGCGAAGACGGTTCATATGAGGCTATACCAGAAAACCCAGGAATCTGACGCTTCATATGGGAACATTGTATCGTTGTTAATCGCATCCTCCAGCGCTTGGAGAATGTAGGCGCAACCGTCTCCGCATCAAAATTCGTTCTAGCCGTGCCCACAGCTATTATCATTGGGCACAAGTGTACATTTGAAGGGCACGTACCGGAAGAATCCAAAGTGCAGAAGATTCGCGACTGGCCTGAACCCAAAAATCAGTCACAAGTGCGCGGATTCTTAGGAACTTGCGGCGTCTTGCGCATATTCATTCGCGATTTCTCGCGCATCACGCACCCACTAATTGACCTCACTAGAAAGGACGCGCCATTTGTATTTGGACCTGAACAATGCCAAGCCATGCAGACCCTCAAGGACTCAATTCTAAGGTCGCCCGCGCTAAGGCGCATCGATTATGAGAGCGAGCGCGAAGTCATTTTAGCGGTTGATACTTCTAATATTGCCATCGGACTCATCTTGCTGCAAGTAGGCGAAGATGGGAAGCGCTACCCAAATCGATTCGGCTCCATCACGCTAAATGACATGGAGAAGTGCTACTCCCAAGCGAAGCTAGAGCTCTTTGGACTTTTCCACGCGCTGCGCGCCGTGCACATATACATATTTGGAGTCAAGAACCTCACAGTGGAGGTCGATGCGAAATATATCAAAGGTATGATCAATAATCCAGATTTGCAACCGAACGCGACCATCAATCGATGGATCACAGGCATCCTCTTATTTTCGTTCAAACTTGTTCATGTACCCATGCACAAGCACAAAGGCGTTGATGGTCTCTCAAGGAGACCGCCCGCTGATGAAGATCCCATAGAGGACGACAATCATGAGGATTGGATTGATCATGCATACTCGTTTGCTATCGCACTTCTGAATGATCGCACATGACATATAGCAGGCGGCTCGGCAGACATGCGCCATGAAGCGCATCGCACGTGTTTCATCTCGCAGACTGCTCGCACCCCAACGCTGCGCGTATATTTCGATGTCATGCAGACAGAGAAATTAGAACCTGATATTCCATGCTCGGACGCGGTGCGCGAGCAGGACGCGCTGATGACCATGATGAAACAGTTCCTCTCCTTGCGCGAAAGACCCACTGACGTTTCAGATCAAGAATTCAAAAAGTTCGTCAACAACACAGCGCGTTACTTCATCCTGGAAGGCAACTTATGGCGCAAAGTATCAAATGGCAAACATCAACTTGTGCTGCCCCCAAGTCAACGCTATCGAGTTCTCAAGGAGGCGCATGACGATTTAGGGCACAAGGGTGCTTATACCGTCAGCGCGCACCTACGGCTGCGCTTTTGGTGGCCGCACATCAGGGAAGACATCAAGTGGTATGCGCGGATGTGTCATGAATGCCAAGTGAGCCAAATGTGCAAATTGCATATTCCTCCAATTGTGCCAATGCCAGGTGGTCTATTCCGCAAAGTGCACATCAACACGATGAAGATGCCCAGAGCAGGAGGGTTTGAATACCTTGTGCAAGCGCGATGTGCACTAACATCATACCCTGAATGGCGCATGCTGCGCAAAGAAAATACTCACGTGCTAACCGCATTTATTTTCGAGGAGCTCTTGTGTAGGTGGGGTCGGATCACAGAGATAGTAATGGACAACGCGCCCGCATACAGGCTCGCAGTAGACGAACTCGTGCGCAAATATAAAATACACCTAATCCGCATCTCGCCATATAATTCTCAGGCAAACAGTATAGTCGAACGACGACACCGCGATGTCCAGGAGGCCATCATTAAAAGCTGCGATGGAGATGAGTCACACTGGTATCAGGTAGCCCATTCAGTGTTCTGGGCAGAGCGCATCACCATTCACAAAGTGATGGGTTTATCGCCCTATTTCATGATGCACGGCATCGAGCCAATATTTTCCTTTGATCTCACTGAAGCGACATTCCTCGCGCCCTTGCTGAGCTGAGGCGCATTCACCACTACTGATTTTATAGCATGGCGCGCGCGCCAAATTCAGAAACACATGGAAGATATCAACACGATCAGAGATAAAGTAGTCGCGGCGCGCTTCAAGTCGATACGCGATTTTGAGAAATGCTTCCGCGCGTCTATCAAGTCACACAACTTCAAACCCGGCACCTTGGTATTGGTGCGCAACTCAAAGGTCGAATACGAATTAAGCAAGAAGACGAAGCCATGCTATTTGGGACCTATGATCGTAGTGCGCCGCACGAAGGGAGGCTCATATATGCTGGCCGAGTTGGACGGCGTGATCTCAAAACTCCGGTTCGCCGCGTTCCGCATCATCCCTTATTATCCACGTAGCGGGGAGTGCGTATCGGTAACCCAAATGACTGGAGTGGACGACGAGAGCATCGACGAACTAGAAGCTTATAAAACCATAGAACCCGAAGAAGACGAGCCCGAGCATGCACAAGATGATTAGCGCGCGCGACAATACCCCCCCATTCCGCACATCGCCCAATTATATCCGCATCCCCACACATTCCTCAGAAACATAAAAACAAAAATACCAGAAAAACAAGAACAAAAACAAAAACATTCCATTACGTACATACTCTCAGTTTTACCCTGGGTTTTGTCTGGTGATATCAGTTTCTATCATTTGTCTCATATAACGTGCATTGCCTGCACATAATCCCCACAGACTCTAAAATATGATGACAGAACACAAAAATACTGATATTCCGCAAGTACATACTACTAACTACCTTACTTGTATAGCGTGCGCATAATCTCACCCATAGATCTTCACCTTCTAACGTGCGCGCCGCGCCATGCACTTTTACTTTTCCTTAGAAATCGCGCGCCACCACCCTGTATGCGCAAGGCGCAATATAGCAGGAATAGATGACGAAAGATGCGCGAAGAAGACAAGATGGGCGCGCACCCCCGCAGAAAACCTAGTAAAGTCTATCGCATTACCTTGATCTTGTTTCGCGCTCGCGCCTTACTTACATACTTATAATTTTAATTCATAGCCCGGTAAATCAGACGAGGACATGGACATGGACATGGGACACAAGACAAACTGGATCTATTGCACAGGCGCATTGGCGCTTAGGAAAACAAACACAGAAGCATCTAGTTAAGAGAGGCATTGACGCGCTCCTCAAAGTCAGACCAGTCTTGGGACATGGAAAAAAGTTTGTTGGACAGCGCCAGGAGGTCCGCCTGCTGGGCGCGCACATACTGGCACATCTTCAAAGCAGATGCGTGCATAAGCGCATTTTCCTCCCTCAGGCGCGCGGTCTCAGCCTGAGCTTCTCTCAACTCCTCCTCTGGTCCCTTGAACTTGCCTTTTCCCTTAGGCGCAGAACCAGACACCAAAGGACCAACGGCATGCACAGGGACATCACGCGAGGCACACACAACCTTATCCTGCACAGTGCGCTCATCAACAATCATCACATCCATGCCAGAACCCTCAGACCCTTCTTCTTCTTCAACCGCAATAGAGGAAGCGGTCTCCTTTGCAGACTCAACAACCATAGGGTGCTTAGGCATTGGCTTGCGCGGACGCGCCTTAGGTCCATCTGAAGTCTTGCGCTTAGCTAATCAAAGGCATTAGTAGTGCGCCAACAAATATCCCCAAGGCGCAACTTACAGAAGGAACACGCGCGCTTGGAAACATCACAAGGAGGGCACCACCTGCCAGGCGCGCCTCCGCAGTCCTGATTCTTGTTGGCGCAGCTGGTGCAGTGTGGCGCTTTGACGACAGACATACGCCCAACCTTGCGCTAATACAACAGAATGCATCAGTAGAGTAGCACAACAATGAGACATAAAGGAATGCACCTGTTCGGCCACATCTGTACCAGACACATCAGCAGTGCGCGCCTCAGCATCGGTAGCGTCAGTGGCGTGCGCAGCGCGCTTGGGAGGCGCCTCTGGAACAGTCTCAATCGCCTTCGCCTTCCATCCCTTCACCAGCGCCTCAATCTCCTTACAACCCTTGCGCCCCTGCTTCAGGAACTCTGCACTCTTTTCGTCCATATCCAACTCCATGCCCAGTACACCTGCGCGCTCGGAACAGCTGTTCAAGGTTGCCTAGGATGGTCAGATGACACAAAGCGGGACATGTAAGGCACACTCACGAGCACAGAATGCCACTCGCGCATCCACATCTCTTGATCCTCGAGGAGCTCTGGCTTGAGATCAGGCGCCACCATGACACACGCTTCCAATGACACCAAGGAAGAGGCCCAGGCGCTGAGGAGACAATCGGTATTGGATTTGGCGCTAGTGTCAGCCATAGGCGCATCCTCAGGGTGACCTTGCGCCACAGGCTCGGGTTCTGGAGAGGGGGTGGTGTTCAGCATAGTGGCAGTGAAAGGAGGCATGATGGTATTGATAAGAAGGAAGACAAGGGATCGTGAGAACACATCCATCTCTTACCAATAATTCCATCGATTCGATCAGCGATGCTCGCGATCATCAAAGGAATGGCCCTACTCTTGCGATCACATGACCCCTGTCTATCACCACTTCTTCAAGTCCAAAATCCTGTGTTATAGCGCTGAGTGGGGACACTCAGAATGTAAGTCCCCAGGAGATGTAGAGACTCGCATCTCTCAATGCGGAATATACGGCCCTATTACCCACATAATTCCCCACACGTTCCAGCTCTTATCCGAAGGATTAGTCATATGCGCTCTCACGCGTGCACCCTACATACGCGCCTCGTTCACGCGCCTTACACGCACTCGCGCCTTTCATGTGCGCTCATGCGCCTCCCCTTAGGCCTTCGCATCCTTGTCCGTCTGTCTGTCCTATGTCCTCGCTGATTTACTGGTGCGTTATTCTTATCCCTTTCACTGAATTGATGTACCTTCGGTCCGATCCCCGCGCTTACATACAGAAAGTCTATCTTAGGCTTTAGAATATATTTAGAGTTGATATGGTTACTCGGTGTAGTAGGGTGTTTGGCATCAGGGGTCAGTCCATTTGAGGAAGGTGTCTTGGAGGTGTTTGAGGTCCCAGCAGGTGTTTTAGAGTAGCTTTCCCACGTGTTGTAGCATCATCGATCCACCATCTGTTGTCCACCAGTGTCGAGGCCCAGGGCCCTCTCCACCTGGTGACTAGAGTGAGCAGCACCACAGCTATCCCACTCGAAGTACTTTGCAAGCTATGAAACATTCCAATAGACAGCCAAGGAGCACGTCGACGGGTAGTATCGGAAAGTCATTTGTCCCCTCCTCATGCAAAAAGCGAGCCTATTTCTCACAACCTCAGCATATTATCCCCTCCGAAGTTCAACGAAAAAATAATTCACGCCAACACCAGATTCATTCAACAGAAAGCGACTACACAAAAGTCATTGCAACTGCTCGTACCCTCCCAGAATTACGGACCAAGCACCATCACACTCCTCGCACCACCTACAATCATGTCAACCAATGCTCCAACTATAACGCCTCAGCCCACCTTTTATGGCAACTACAAAAAAGGTGAAGAACCGACCAACTGGATGAGGAACTACCAGTTGTCCTTTCCATCGTCTTATTCGGATGCCGAAAAGATCACACAGTTTGAGTTGCAGTGTGCAGCCGCAAGTCCTGCAGAAGCGTGGTATGCCACATTAACGGGAGCAGATACAGCCACATGGAGCGCATTCCTGACGGCCTTTCGAAAATGTTGGCCACCTCCAATACAGGTTACACTCACGGTAACACAGAAGAAGGATCGCATCCGAGCAATAGTTCTAAAAGAGGAGGAAATCGGCGTCATGATAGAGGAAGATAGAGGAAGAGAGTGGGGGCACGTGAAATGGGCAAAGACCATAGCAAGAACGGCGCAGGGGTTCAACGACACACAGTGTCATCTGCTTGACGTCATCCTGGAAAACACACCAGAGGTATTACGTGACTTCCTCGCAGACAATTACTCCTCGTGGGCAGATTTTGAGGCAGATGTCGCCAAGATATCCACATCCCAATTGGACAGAGCGAAACAGCAGATGGCCACAGAGAAGAAGCTTCGCAGCAATGTAGATAAGCTGCAGTCACAGGTCACTGACAACCACAGCAAAACGTCGAACCCGGTACCAAGTCAACAAGTCCAACAAGGCGCATACACACCACCTGCATATTGATATGGATATAGACAGACTCCAACATCTGCAGGACAGCCGCCACAGATCTTCCAACCCTCCCCAGCCACACAGTGTTACGCTGACTGTAGGTCGGCGTATGCGAACTAGGATAGTTCTTCTCAGCGACGACTCGGGTGAGTCTACTGAAGCTGAGCGTGGTCTGGCCTTGACGGAACGTCAAGGATTCCTCCGGCGATCTCAGTAAGACGGCGCTCGTCGAGATGCAGGGCTAGCGGATACGTGCAAAGTCGTATGGGGGCGACTTTGAAGTGCGGTCTCACACAAGGAAGCGGTTAAGCTAAGATGAGCAAGTTCTTGGTAGAACCTAGTAGATTAAAGTGAAGTCTAATCTACAACAATGTATCTACTCTTATAGTGTTAGCTATAGGTTATTCTAGCTCAGTCTGTAATCTATAGTATATCGGTAATCTAAGATAGCCAGACATGAGGAGAGATAGCATACATGAGGCTTAACCTCTGATCATACATGCAGCGCCAAGTGCGACTGCGCAATCAACAGGAGGCGCATAGAAGCGCTCCGGGTCTTCATACATGAGGCGCCTAGGGCGCTCCGGATCTTCATGAAGCGACATGCTGTATACATGCGCTGATCTAGGGTGTCCATGAGGCGTACAGCCTCCATGGAACAGGTACAGGGCCGTCTAGGCCAGGGGCGGGGTCATAGCGCCAGGGGGCGGGGTCATAGCGGTCCAGACCGCTGTCTTTCTAGGCGCAGGCGGCGCACCGCCGCGCGGGGAGTCTAGCAGAGCGGGGGCAGGCGTAGGGAGAGCTGGGGCTCTAGTAGGTGTTACAGATCCCTGTAACACACAGCCAATGCCGCAGCAAGGTCCAATCATGCAGACTCCCCAAGTACCCCAAACACCACAAGCGGCTGCCTTGTTCAGCATGCCCGCTCCTGTCAACCGAGGGAACCTGTTTTACGGATACCGTGGAGGAATCCCACAAACGCCAATAAGAGGGAGAGGAGGGTCCATTGCAGATCGTGCACGAGTCGCAGTGCAATTCGCTACCATTCCTCATCAGCCAGACTCAGAAACGGGAAGACAGGCGTACACGCAACAGGTCCAAGAATGGCACACAGCACATGGGGCGGATGCCATACTGAATTCGTCGAGACCGTACCCACTGAAGCCAGGTACCGCACCGTTGGGATCTAGAGAGTGTTTTCAATTGCAGGTTAGCAACAAACCCAAGCCACCAAGCATATGAGTGCACGTACCAAGCAGTTCCGGTACAGGAAACGAAGTGGCGGGAGACGGTATCCCGCTTGGTGACCAGGGCACTGACAACAACACCAACCACAGGTGCGCCCATGAGCGTACAGTTCATGGCACCTGTGCAGCACCAGAATGTGCCCTACCCACCATTCACATACTACGTGCCACCATCAGACCCTTACCAGACGTACAAGATGTTGGGAAACGAGTATGGACCGCAGATGTAGGGGACCCTCCTGCGGTCCTGAACAATCGGATCCAAGTAACTCAGTCGACGGATGCAAGACACGACACCATCGAGACAACCTGTTACGAAGATTTGATGTCCCCAGCTTTATCAGAACTCGACTGAAAACTCACTGGTAACCACACCCGCATCCAGCGACTTCATAAGCCTTGATACCTTGTTGGCAAACTTGCCAAGCACGCGCTCAGACCACAGCCTCATCGACAACAAGCAGGAGGAAGAGAACGACTTCATAGTACCAGCACTGGATATAGAAATGCCTTCGGAAAACCCCCTTATGTCCACATCAACAGACTCTGTAGTTATTGTATATTTGAACGTTCCAGACTCAGAACCACTTACTAATTCCCACATACCATACGCACCACCTGACCCGTCCCATGATCTAGACCAATCTTCCGTTTCTGAACCTTTTCACACCTCCCCAGACGCACCACCTAGCACGCATGCATCCGATGACTTGTCTACGAGCACCAATAGTACAGATCTCGAACCTACGCTAAGTACATCCACCTTTGAGCAACTCGATACTTCTGACTGTTACTCGAGCGCGAACGATAACATTGTAAATCTGCACAACGTCACAGATTGTCACACAGAAAGCAAGCCATTTGTAACACGAGCAAACTTACACGGACCAGGCGCCAAAACTTCTCATTTCAACGCTAACATGGACAACGGCGCAATGGTGAACGTCCTAGACCTCAAAGCATATCGAAAAGTAGCCCGACACCTCAAGACTCTGACACCATCAAAACGAATCCTTCGCATGGCCAACGGATCTGAAGTACCGTTGCATGGCATTTGGACCGGCACCTTCCAGTGGGAGAAGGTAAAAGTGAGAACCTCATTCGAGGTATTCGATAGCGGGGGAAGTTGGTCATTACTAATTGGAAAACCGTTGCTGGAACAACTGCAGGCAACACACAATTATACTAATGATACCATTGTCATTCCCCAGGTACCCCATCCGATTACCATCAAGAACACTTTCAGCTCGCCAATCGTAGTTCAACAAGACTGTTACAAGAACATAGCATGAGTCCCCTGCCAGCAGACAGCCCTCTGCCACCACACGGCTATAGACGATACCGGAGTCTCACCAGCTCTATGACGATCATGACAATAGATGATGATAGAAGATAAGCGGCAACTGCCGGCTTAGATAAGTGGTCTGGACCACATATGATGACACATGACGACATAGGTCTAGAAGACCTATTTATGTTATCAAGATAGAAGGCAAGCCTCGTGCTGCCTCATGTACTGATAGAAGGATGCCTCATGGATCCTATCTACGATAGAAGCCCGCCTCATGGACGCTATCTCTGACTCATATAGATAAGCAGATTAGAACCCAGCTTCGAGCTGAGCTTAGATACAATAGAGTAGCCTTATATAAGGTCGAAGATTAAAGTAGATGTTCCTTACTTTAATCTTACTAGGTTTACCCTTGAACTCCTTGTCCCGCTAAAGCTACCTGCTCGACATCGACTCGTACCTTCAGTGACGCCTCTCACTGTCTGTAAACCCGCTATCATCTCAGCGTAACCCCTCGTTAACCACCACGAGCTATGTTCGAGTACACAACCTTTGCTTGTCTGTAAAGGCCGACGACTCTCAGCACTTGGTACCACTGTCGTGGTTGTCGCTGTTTAGATCATCCTAGTCACACACGACCGTATGTCGTAACAAAGACGACTCGACCAGAACCCCAAGTCCCTGTTTCATTATTGTATCTATACCTGCTGACGTCCTAGAACCTAGCCCACTCGGATCGAACACAATGGTGAACGTCGAGGAGAAGTTCGTGTATCAAGCAAGGCAGGGAATACCGAAGGAACACCTAGACGAATATACGACAGCGTTGGGACAAGCAGGAGCACACGTCGTAATATCAAGCAACAAACCCAGAGTATCAACGGTAACGTGCGATTCATTAAGTTCACCTTGCTCACCAGTTTCATTCACAGCAGAAGAACTTCAACGGCCTCAGCCAACGGTCGTGTGGCCGATCCTACAGTATGAACAGGAAGATGAAGGTGACCTCAGAGAAATACTGGACATCATGACCTCCTCGACATCAGCAACCGGCACATACACCAGACACACGGACCCGTTCAATCCCATCCGAGTCACGGAGATCTTACGACAGATCAAGATCGGGGACGACCTGACAACAGAACAGTGCGAACAGGTAACAAGTTTATGTTCAGAATTTGCTGACACGTTTGCATTGGCTATTAGCGAGGTCTTCCCAGTGGACTTCAAGACATTCAAACTCTCCTTCCCCGAAGAAACGACATTCAAAACAAAAGTCAACCAGCGACCTCTGACTCCACCTCAATGGGAGTACCTATACGAACGGCTGAACAAACTCAAGAAGGCAGGTATTATTAGACGCATCGAACCGGAAGATGTCAAGGCAGCAAGCCCCACCATGCTGGCACAAAAAGTACACGGATCAAGCAGCCTACCGGTAGAAGAACTAATACATCGGGTGAGCGACCAATGCGCTCAGCACGGCTTACCCACCTGCGACGATCTGCCCCCAAGGCCACCAAAGACAACAGATGCACCTAAGCAAGGATCAGCACCCAAATGGCACATCTGCCAGAACTTTGCAGAAGTCAACAAGGCAAGTCAAGTACCACCTGTGCCACAGGGAGACATCAGGATGAAGCAACAACGATTGAGTGGTCACCGTTGGATTAGTATCATTGACTTTGCAGCAGGATTCTACGCTATCCCCATGGACGAGGACACTCAACCGTACCTTGCATTCTACACAGAAGGAAGAGGATATGACTGCTATTGTCGAATGCCGTTCGGTCTAACGGGCGCACCAACAAACTTCGGAGACATGGCAGCCATCACACTACGAGACCTTATAGGTCTACTCTTTGAGTTATACGTAGACGACTGAGGTATGGCAGGGGACGACTTCAACGAGAAATTGTCCAGACTACGCAGGTTCTTTGAACGTGTTCGCACTATGAGACTATCGTTGTCCCCCTCAAAGACACAATTGTTTATGATGGAAGTTATATTTGCTGGTGCACGGGTAGGACGTGATGGCATCAAACCGGATCTCACAAAAACTGCAGCAGTCGTTAATTGGGAGATCCCCAACACGATTCACAATCTAATGCAATTTCTAGGACTAACGGGATATTTTAGATCTCTTATCAAGGATTACGCTAGACGGGCAGCTCCTCTCACGGATCTTATTCGAAGACTAAGTACACCTCCGGGAGGTCAGCAAGTGGGACACTACAAATACCGACAACATCTCCGCAACACTCAACTGCGGCCACATTGGGGACCCAAGCAAACGCAAGCCTTCATGGACCTCAAGCAGGCACTAGTAGCAGAACCCGTACTTAAAGGACCTCGATTTGACGGAACACCATTCATCGTCATCACAGACGGCTGCAAGGAAGGTTTTGGCGCAATACTGTCCCAACGACACACCTTGACACTAGCATCAGGGCGAGTCGTTACCACAGACCACCCAATAGCCTATGCGTCGAAACGCACGTCAGCAACCGAAGAGAAGTACAAACCATTTATTCTAGAATTTGCTGCACTAAAGTTCGCATTGGACCAGTTCTCAGACGTTATTTGGGGAGCCCCGGTGGAAATTGAGACGGATTGCCAGGCATTGAGGGATACCTTACTTAGTCCTAAGCTCAGCATCGCGCACGCAAGATGGAGCGATGGCATCCTTGCATATCACATCGTCAATGTCAGACACCGGGCGGGTGTCACGAATACAGCCACGGACGGACTAAGCAGAAGCATGGAGACACGAGAGCGCACGGTCAACGACAGAAGTGAATGGATGGTTAACGAGGACTGGGAGGCTGCAAGCGGGATAGTACAAGATCTATTTGCAGTCGAGACATCCCCCAACACACCCAATCTGTTACAGTAACATGGCACGAGTCCCCCGCCGGCAGACAGCCCTCTGCCACCCGCACGGCTATAGACGATAGACGACACCGGAGCCTCACCAGCTCTATAGATGATGATAGATGAGAGACGATAAGCGGCAACTGCCGGCTTAGATAAGCGGTCTGGACCGCACGTGACATGGACATGACGACATAGGTCTAGAAGACCTATTTATGTTATCAAGATAGAAGGCAAGCCTCGTGTTGCCTCATGTACTGATAGAAGGATACCACGTGGATCCTATCTCTGATAGAAGCGTACCGCATGGACGCTATCTACGATAGAAGCCCGCCTCATGGACGCTATCTCTGACTCATGTAGATAAGCATATTAGAACCCAGCTTTAGGCTGAGCTTAGATACAATAGAGTAGCCTTATATAAGGTCGAAGATTAAAGTAGATGTTCCTTACTTTAATCTTACTAGGTTTTCCCTTGAACTCCTTGTCCCGCTAAAGCTACCTGCTCGACATCGACTCGTACCTTCAGTGACGCCTCTCACTGTCTGTAAACCGCTATCATCTCAGCGTAACCCCTCGTTAACCACCACGAGCTACGTTCGAGTACGCAACCTTTGCTTGTCTGTAAAGGCCGACGACTCTCAGCACTCGGTACCACTGTCGTGGTTGTCGCTGTTAGATTATCCTAGTCGCACACGACCGTTTGTCGTAACACAATCCTGAAACACCTACTAACATAGTTTCACTGCAGCACAAGTTCGCAAAGGAACCTTTATTTCTTGACGTCGTTGAGGCACTCTACGACCTAGATTCCAGCAAGTCCGTCAAGACCAAACGCAGAGCCCGGCACCACGCAAAGCAATATTTCATCGAGAACGACAAACTCTGGCGGGTAGCAAATGACTCGTCGACATGAGTGCACAGCAAGCTTGAGTGCGTCACACAGGAGGAAGCAGTAGAGCTCGCAAGAGCAGAGCATGCTAATAGAGGCCACTGGGGGAGAGACCTGGTGAAGTTACAATTGATGGATCATATCTACAGCCCGCGCCTGGACCATTCGGTGACAACAGCCATCACCGAGTGCGGACAATGCAAAAACTTTGGGGTGGCACACCTCAACTCATTGCTAGAACCAATCATCCGTTGACATCCGTTTGAACTCTTAGTAGCCGACTACCTAGCTATGCCTAAGGGAAAAGGGGGCTTTCACAACATCCTGCTAATTATCGACACGTACTCACAATATGTTTGGGGTTTTAGGTTGAAGACTCAGGGCACCGCGAAAACGACCATCTCCGGCCTCGACAAGATCAGGCACGACTTCTGCGCACCGGAGACATTGATGATGGACGGGGGGAGACACTTTGACAACACAGAGGTCAGCGAATGGTGCGAGACACACGATACCAAGAGATACGTAACCGCAGTGTATGCACCGTGGGTCAATGGACTGGTAGAGGGGATGAACAAGTTGTTGTTAGGAAGATTGAGGAGTATGTGCGCACCACACCTCGGAGAAGATAACTACAGGGACGTCGATCCGAAGACACTTCCAGCAGAATGGGCGGATCACTTCAAAACGGCAATTGAACATCTCAATAGTCATATCCTACCATCATTCCAGTTCTCACCTAGAGAATTACTTCTGGGGCTAGTTATCAACACCCCTCGCACGCCAATTGCAACACTCGCAAATGAGACCTCATCAAACGACGTCAACGTACACTCGGCGTACGTGTTCCAACAACGACTCGACGCGCTCGCAAACAGCATGTCAAACACCATCAAACGAAAGGCATCTTTCGACAAACGCGTCCTCGGATCGACAACGGGAGAGGTGACCTTCGCACCAGGACAACTGGTACAGGTATACGCGAGCGAGTTAGACCAAACATTTCACACGACCCAAAAGATCTTACCTCGGTGGTCCACACCTCGAAGAATCACCAATCGCCGCACCAACTTGTACTCCTTGGAGACATTGGAAGGGTTTCCCATGCCGGGATGGTTCCACGCGAGACGCTTGCATCTGTTCCTTCCAAGAACCGGAACATTGTTGGCAGAGATGGAAGATGAGAGGAGGAAGGAAGCAGCAGGACGAGAGAGCGAGGGAGATGGATGAGTCAGCTGGAGGCTTCAGCGACCCAGGAGTGTCGCATTTTAGTGGGGGGTATTTGTAGTAGGGTGTTTGGCATCAGGGGTCAGTCCATTTGAGGAAGCAGGTGTCTTGGAGGTGTTTGAGGTCAGTGTCTCAGAGGTGTTCAAGGTCCCAGCAGGTGTTTTAGAGTAGCTTTCCCACGTGTTGTAGCATCATCGATCCACCATCTGTTGTCCACCAGTGTCGAGGCCCAGGGCCCTCTCCATCAGTTCGGTACCACACTCGGAAGCGCGCCACATAGTGTAATCTCCCTTCTTAAATAGAGGGAAAGTTCCTTTTAACTTACTTTTCCCTCCTCCCTTATCTGAGTATACTGCAAATTGTATAGTGCACCTTAGTACTTAAAATCCGATTATACTTCACTATTCTACCATCGCTCGCACTTCTGTTATACTTGAACACCCTCCCCCATCACTCAAAAGCACGCTTCCACATACGCGCACACCCCTTGCATCCTTCGCTCGCGCACACCCTTCGCGTGCCTTCGCATCGCTTACACGCGCCTCCGCGCGCATTATCTTCTCGTGCCTGTTACCACCCTGTCTAGTTGACGAAGACTCCCTCCATTACATTAAAGAGGAACTTCTCTCAGTAGCTGTCCTTTGGGTCAAGTCGTATTCTCGTATCCTGGTCTTGCTGTAGAACCCCCGATAGCTTTAGTGTTTCACCTATAGTCAAGATTCCTCACCTTCACCACTCATGCTCACTATCAGAATCATGAATTTCCTACTCGAGCCATGGCTCAGGCCAGAGCCGTCTGAAGCCAGGCCAAAGCTGTGGCTTTTGGGCCAAGCCTGGCCAGAACATCACTAGGGCCCATAGCTGTGATGCGACATTGATGCAGTACTGATAGTAGGCCTTGATGTGGTATCATATAGAGTGTGGATGTTGATACCAATACAGGACTGACACGCAAGATGCATACTAGTAGTATGGACACAAAGGACAAACAGTGTGGTTTTGGAAGATGCATGAAATGTGGGGATGTACGAGTGAGTGGTAACCAATAGTAATGGAGAGGAAGCACATAGGGTTTTCTAGAGGCTTCAGCCTCCAGAATGACAGTTGCAAGCCAATGACATCAGGGATAAACATCATACTAAGTTTGAAAGACAAACTGGCAGATGTTTGCTACCAACAATCCCGTCTGAACTGGTCTCATAGATTCCACTAGCACACCCCATCCTACTAGTACCAAATTTTGGATGGGAACTATGGGTTCAATGACTGCACTACATTCAACGGATACACAAGGAACATGGCAGTAAGAACTCAATACCGTACTAACTTTGGTCTTGTAACATTTTCACAATTGTTCTATCCATCCCCGCCATGGGCCACAGAGCAAAATACTTCACATTAGAAGCAAAGTTGACAGCTGGAAAGCATCAAAAGCATCTTATTCTCAGTCAAAATGGCAAGTATCTTGTAAATATTCTATGCATTGGTATCATGATTTACTGTTGCCACAGAGGTAAGATTACTTGCAAAGCTCAGAATGCCCATGCCTATGTCAAGCATCATGGATGACATGGAGCTTGTACAACCATCCGAGTCAGTGAGCCGCCAGACTCTCTGACATTCTCCCTACTTCTATTCACGACTCTTTCTCTTCCCGACTCCTATCTCTTTCACCAATCTTATGCTGGTTCTGACTTGATTAACGAATCTGATCTCTCACAGTGGGATAAACCCCCTCCTTATGATTATTCAGTTCCACCCAACTTGCTAGAGGAAGCACAATTTATGGAAAACCTTATCGATGTGATGCATAAATGGTACTTGCATATCCAAAGAGAGGCTCGCAGCCATCGTGCTGACGTGTATAAAGCAGGAGGCACTTCTAAAATTCTTATGGAGATTCGAGAGGCAGAGAAGAGGTTGGTTTTAGGTTGGGAGAGGCTTTGTGCTTGTGTAGCCAACTTGCAGGGATGCTCAAGACATGAGCTCATGGCCAAGTGTTACCTGCAAGGGTTAGCAAGAACAATCTTAGATTACTGACGAGAGGCAGATTGCTTAGCTACTGGCAAGAATCCATATGTATGACCATGACAGTGAGTATAATATATACAAGGGCTTCACTTTGTCGCCTGATGGCACAACAATGAACTGTGTGCACAGCTCAGCATCATGTCGTGCTGCATCTACCGCAAGCGCAGCCTTATTGGTCATAGGCCAAGGACTATTAACCCTTCACATCCACATGACCCTCATTAACCCAATCTTGCAAAAGATGGTTAGCATGTTTGCGGTCCAACAAAAAGGGAAATTAGGTCGACAAACCAACTATGACTATGTCCATGGCCAAGGTTCTGATTTGCTTTACAATTTTGTCTGACGTGCATGTCAAGATGATCCTCCATCTCTTTCTGACACCACACTGCTTACACAGCAGGTAATTGATCATACAACAGATTTAAGACATTTATTGGACATCTGATGGTAGAGAAAGTACGAGGATGCTAAGATAATACCATAAATCACCAATGTTAGCCTCACATACTCCTGTGACATGCCACCCATGAAGCACAGCAATGATTGCAGCTAAAACCCAGATGCCACAATCGTGGTTGTTGGTTTGAAGAGGTTGGATCTGAATGACATGAGACCAGTCAGACTTGTCAGGTGAAGAGATTTACATTGAGTTGTCGAGCCACCCATCCTTTGAGGTCAATGGGAAGGTGATACTGATGTTTGCGTGCCAGCAAAATGAGCTGACCAATCAATTTCATTATGTCCTTTTTGTAATTCATTTTGTAATTTGGATGTTAATAATAAGAACATACCTTTATGTCGTGTTTCCAAGGCTTTTGATCTCAAAGGCTATCAAAGAGGTGCAACTCCTTGAAGGGCAGGTAAATGGCACAAAATACCCAATACCCAATGCGGGAGGGTCGATGTATAGCAAGCACCCATATGTCCTTCTCCCAATAATGTGTCCATGAACATTGATGCCAGATGACTTCATCAGGTGCATTGTATCGGATGCATGGAAGATCGTGAGTGGAGAGTATCATGCAAGAGACATTGAGAACTTTGAGTTCGGAGTAGAGTAGAGCAGTGCAACTGTTAATGCAGACGTCATTGAGATATGCTGTAGGTAAACAGAGAATGTCAATGTCTTTCAGTTCAAAAATCTGATGGGGAAATCCATCACAAGGAGGTCGGACTTGCGCTGTAAGGGTGCCAGGCATGACAATGTTCGATTCACAAGCTGGAATGTAGTCATCAATTAGAAGATTCTGGAAGAACAAAATGAGTTACAAAAGCCAGATTTAATTTAAGCAAGCGACTTTACCTTAGAGACATCCCATTGGAGAATGTTCACGTCAACAATGTTGCTGAAATTTGTGGTGCCATTGGCGTTGTCATGATCTAAGGGCCCCATATCACCCTCCAGAAGGTCTGTGAGGGCAGCTTGGTCTGAGTTGACATGCGGTATATCTTCAGTGAGAGTCGGATCATCATCACCCTCCAAGTCCAGCGATTCTAATGTGGTAGTATGGGTTGAGGCGATGGTGGTATACAGAGAGTCACCAGAAATGCCAAGAACAATTTGTTGTACTTTGTTCACCTGGGCAACAAACTGTGCTGAAGACACTAGTGGGTTGGTCCAGCATGATTGAGTCCAAAGGAAGTTGCTGTGGTGCTATTGCAGGGTAGCTGTAAAATGATCACCTGCAGATTTGACATCAGAAAATGAAGCTTAAATTTCATATATTAATACATACTTCCTGAATAATGAACAGTGAGTTTGAGTGTGGCTAACTCTTTTCCAAAAAAACAGCACAGATTATCTGCCTCAGTGTGAAGTTGCAGCTGTTCTTCTTGGCAGCGATCATGCTTAAGAAGCGCACTGTAGAGACTGACATCTCTGTGGCCTCATAGAGGGCTAATCCTCCAATACTCTAATCACCTTCCAAACATAGTGCGACTCATATCTCGTTTTTGCACACTTGGCGCTTCATCAGCCAATCACGTGCACAAGCGCTTCAGCCATGCTGTAGGACTTGGAGTCCTTGTAGCCTCGTAGAGGCCATTTTTGCAGTGTCCCTTAGGTCCTCGTGTTGCACGCACTATAGCTAATGTGGCGCGCATCATTTCTGCTATCGGCTGACAGTCACGACTCACATGCATACATCAGCTTGCATCGTCTTTTCTTTGGTTCTGTTGCACATCCTTCCCTTGTCCTATCCATGTCCTCCATTGGTCCATTGGTGCGTACCTAACTCAATTTGCATTAGACTGACATTATTTCCGATGCTATTTCATTTATATTCTCATTACTTGCATTATGGACCCTGTTTACATACTACTGCTACCTACTCGGCTCCGAACAGTGCTTCGTGCACTCTCATATATACATAGTACTTACGATTTCTCATGTATCTATTTTTCCTGTATTGAAATTATCACCAACTTTCATGCAACACTTGAACTGAAAATAAAAACCTTTGGCATACTACTGCGCGCGTGTCTCTAATGGCCGCGTTAACATTCGCATTTCACTTACCGCTTCTATTGTCAAACTCTCTTCTCGTTTCATCGCCATGTCACATCACTTTCACATCTGCAAATCTTCACATTTATCCTTCGACTCAGCCGCGCACTTTCACGCTTTGTCAAACCTTCAGCTGCACGGCCACACATCATAATGCACTTTTGGTGGCTCACTCACGCTCGCATCGCATCGGCACAAATTCTCGTGCTCCTTCCATTTCAGCTACTCTTACTAGTTTCCAAGTTTCCCCTCACATTTTACTTAGAGGAATTGTTCTCAGTAGCAATCCCCTTGGGCCAAATCTATACTTGCGTCCAGAGGTCTATTTGAGTTTTACCCCACTTCACCCTTTCTCACCCTTTTACCCCTTCTCATCTAGCTATCATTCCTCACACACAACTGCAGCCCACCACAAGGGGATCATCTGAGAAGACTAGTAGGAAACTGAGACTCATGAAGGACCGCACCACACGCCAAGAAGTGATTGACAGTTTCAACTGCACCTTCCCACACATGCAACTAATGCAACATTTCAGAACCAACCTGCCCCGATCCAGATCTATTTGTAGCACACAACTGTGTGCCCACTTCGCCAGTCACACCTTCACCAAAGGATTCAGTACAAAATGAATCGTCTGACAATTTTGAAGCACTAGATAACCCGAGGAATTTTCTACCAGGCGCATTTTGTGCGATGCCCAAACAACCAGCGCTTATTAGGTGCACATGGATGGTGCATGTTACATGCAGGAGGTGCAGGGTACATGCAGAAGACGTGTGGTACACGTTGTAAAGAGTTGATTCTGTGTAGGCTCTACAAAGTGTTACCTTCAGAACTCAATGTGTGAGTGATATGTTCGTCCCAAAGAGACTGCCTGTAGAAATACTCCTTGATATAAATGCAAGGGATATCTAGTTAAGATCAAAAGTGAGAGAGAGGAATGTCACCAAGAGTGCATCAGATGTTCCAAAGATGTGTCCGAAGTACTGAAGTACTTGTCCAATGTCAAGAAACGAAGGTCCGAGGTTGCGCGAAGCGTCCAAAGAGCTTCCGGCGAACAGCAAAGGTTCCAAGGTAGAAGTATGGTGTGTATGTTGAAGTATAAGACTTGCAAAGTACGACTAAGCAAAGCCTATCGGGAAAACTAAGAGATAGCAAGATGCAAAATGGCAGCGGTCAGGCCAAACAATCGTTCCAAATGAACAAGAAAGATTGATTGTGTGAAGTATGACTATCCAAAAGTGACTCTACTAACTATGACTCGTAGCAGGAAAAGTGAAGTGAAGTGCGAGTAGTTAGCGAGGCAGATTATATCCTACAGCGTGAAGGTCCAGAAACTACGTAGGTGAAAACAGTAGTGAGATAAGCCATCCGAAATGTAATAAGACTCGAGGCAAGCCACTACAGAGATATCCATGTAATAATGCGTGAGGCATGTTGCTATACGTATCAATCAAGCTTTCTGATGGGCCGACGACATATGTGCCTCTAAGACATAATTAATAATAGATGAACAAGGTAAAAATGCACCAGCGAAAGTCGAACGGACACGGACTGGACATGGTACAGAGGATCAGAAGTGTATACAGGCCTCGGAAATGGACAGACAACCTTCGGATGACTCGGACAAATGCACGGAACTCTTGGAAGGTAAATGGAGTGTCGAGGAATATGTATGTGGGATACCTATGAGATTGGCAGGATACAAGCCCAACACCAATCCGAGTGCTACAGCATGGATGGCGCAAGTGGCATGGCCAGCATCGAGTGAGTGCATGGAGAACAAACACATTGACCTGAGAAGGTGCGGGTAGGACGCGGATGTCGTGGAACGAGGTGAAAATGGCTGGGAACCAGAAGCCGGGTGAAGGACTTGAAGGTGATGAGTTGAATGTGGATGGCTGTGGGTGCTTTGAGCATATGGCATGCAGCATGTGGTCAGTGTGTGATGGAGTCGAGGAAAAGGACGTGCGGTGTAGGACTTGGAGTCCTTGTAGCCTCATAGAGGCTATTTTTGTGGTATCCCTCAGCACCCTATTACTTTCCTACATGAAGCGCAGCTTTCCCGCGAGTCGCGCATAGCGGCCGCTACTTTCCCGCGATGGCCGCAATGTTCCTGCGCGTGCGCACAGCCGCACTTAGCGGCCGCTTTTCTCGCGCTTCATTGGCCGATGTTCCGCACCCATCCATAGTCCAAAACCAACCCAATGGTACATTGTTTCATAATGATATTTACATATCAGACCATTTTCGCATCGGACCACCTTTATTACATATAGCTTTACATACATAGCTTGGTAGCACGTCAGCTCGGTTCCGCGTGACAGCACTTAGCGCAATACTTAAGCACTAGCAGTACATATCATTCAGGAGCTTGTTTTCCGGATGTTCCAGTAGCAAACTCCCATTAGCCTACAGTTGGTAGCTATTGGCAATCAGTATCCATTTACTGCTCGCATCATATCCATTATCAGCTTGCTCTACATCTATTCCTATTGTCCTTCATCTCTATTATCATCTGAACCCTTCACGCATCGGCCGCTTTGCAGCCGCGTTTCTTCCTGCGCTTTCGCCCACCACTACGTTCCCGCACTACGCGCGTGCACCCGTCGCTTTCCCGCACTTCGCATTGGCTGACAAGTGGCACCTTCTGCATCCATTTCTAGACCTTTGCTGCACTAGCTTCCCCTTTAGGGTCAAATGCACTTGTCCCACAAGTATAGCAGATAGGCAGTGCACGACCTACAACATAAAGATATCAGTTTGGAGCCTATAGCACCACTCTGAGTTGTAAACCTACAGTGGGTCAAATTGGGTGGGTCAAATCAAAGTGCCAACAAGAGGTGGCCATCAAGCTCCCCACGGGAGGTGATGCCAGAGCTCTCCAACGGTGAGCAAGCAGTCTAAAAAAAAGAAAAGGGTGTGGCCAGGTCAGGACAAGCATGGGAACCGAGCGGAGCATGCAGGAAAGCTATAAACCAGATGCAAGTATGAGATGCTCAATGAAGAGCTCTCACTCTAGTCACCAGGTGAGTCGGTGGCATCAGACCAAGCAAGAAGGAACAGAACAGGTGGAATGAGCAAAGGCTATCTACTGACAGGCACTAGGTATATGTCACATATTACAGTGACCTATCTCTGTATAATACGAGGGAATGGATGTGCATAATATCCCATATGATATGGGCCAGCAGACCATGGGCCCATGATAAAAATATCCTCGACTGTGACGGATGGGCCAGGAGGCAAATTATTCCCAATGGAGGCGGGTGGGCCCATGCAGGGAATATATAGAGTAGATGAGTGGGCCGATGTACATGAATATTAGGTAGACGGGTGGGCCGAGGTAGTTGGATATTATGCAGATGGGTGTATTAAGGTAGATGTGTATGAGATAGATGGGTAGGTACTTGTTATCACATTCACGGGTGGGCCCAGACACATATTAAATTAGACGGGTGGGCCGAGGGTATTATAAAATATTGTATTAGACGGGTGGGCCCAGACACATATTAATTAGACGGGTGGGCCGAGGGTGTTGTATGGGATGTTGTATTAGACGGGTGGGCCGAGGGTGGTATAAAATATAGATGGGTGGGCCCATGTGTATCATAATTGTAGACATGATGGAGCTGAGGTAGTTGTACATCAACCAAATCAGAGGAGGTAATAGATCAAAGTTACCAAGTTCCCGGAGCAGCAGGTGATCTCCTGACATGGCCTTTGATGGTGCACAGGTTGTCTTGCAGAATGTGGAATCCGGGGTGCGAAGCTTGTGTTGCCCAGTAAGCAAGGATCTGCCACAGATGCCAGAGGCCCTGCAGTACTGGGCATCCGTGTTTAACACCCTCTCTATCATTTCCAATCGGGAAACCCCCAATCATCGAGACCATTTGTCTATTGCTGAATGCTTCGACATTCTCACCACCGTGGGGAACTATTCTGATGCTCGGATGACAATGCCAAGCCTTCAGCTGGAGTTCAAGTACAATTCCGGCTGTATGATTGCGTTTTCCGGAAGGATTGTGAGACATGGAGTTTATGATGTGGAAGGGGATCGGATTGCTTGGGCATGGTATATGAGGGATTCTGTTCACATTTACGCTGGTGTTCCATCATGTGGATGGGC